TCCACGCCCACCATTCAATCGTGTGACCAAGCAGCGCTCTCCGTCTGATCACGTGACAAAGCCGTCAGTCAAGGATGCAAACCATCGTGATAGATATTCAAATATTTTGGCTGATTCCACGAAAGTGTTGCATTTTTCAACTTTATTAAAACAAATATGTCAAAATCATTTTGAGACTGAGACTGATTCTGCTGATTGTGATAAAGTATAAATTGGATTTGTGTGATTTTTATATTTAAACTAACTGCCATGTATTTCAGTACCAACTGATCGATGGGAAAATACATATTTTTGACAATTTGACATACGGAACAAGACGCATGGTCTTATGTAAACACTGTAATGGACGACAAAGCTCAGGAGAAGGAAAGGTATGACTGTCAAAACAAATTGTTAATCAATAAGTCTTGTTCTGAACCAGAAAATCCAATGATTATCGATCTACGAAATTGTGATACAATGACATGTGTCAACCAAGTCGGCAAGCCTGATCACCCGATTCCGTTAGTCGCCTTTTTTGACAATCATGGATAGCTGAAGACCAATTCTAACCCGGATCTTCAAAATGATGGACAACTATGAGAATCAAAAGTGAATGAGTATGAGTGAGTCATTTCAAACAAACTCGACATGGTGACACAAAATCCAGATCAAGACTAACTGTTCAAGGAAATTGTCGAAAGGAAGGTACATTAACCATGGAAATATAATTCGCCAGATTATGCAAAGTAGCATTCTGAAGCATGAGATTCCAAGGATGGGAGACACCAATGAAGTAATATGGACATTAGCATTAGTTTACACTTCCACCAACTCAATCTGCTTTGATAAACAATGATGACGCCCTTTCCAAAACTGGGAGATCAATGGAAAGTTCAGGCATCCGTGTTTGTTTGTCCATTAATGGTACGTCCATCGTAAGTGAAAAGCAGGAATAATTATTGAGAGTAATTTGTTTGAGGAGCACTTAGAAAGATCTTTCTTGAAGTCCATAATTTGCAGGACATTTGTGATGAACTGGATTCATTCTTGATTTGACCGGTGATGGCTTCACTTGAAACGACCTCCATTATTCTTTCATCGATTCAACAGCAACAATAATACGTTGCATGTGAGTGACCACACAAATTGGTATTCTATAAACTAGAGTCAGAGGTGAGCCTTAATAAGCGTACTCCCATCATGAGATGACATCAAAGGGACGATATGATGTCCGAGAACTGTGCTTTATAACTGTACATCCTGAAATGGTTAAATGGATGGAGGAAATGACCACGTTAAGCACACTAATGGCGGTCACCACTAGTCAACAAGTTGCTGAACAGGCCAAAACTTCTATCAAAAGGCAACCAAAGACAAACATAAAAACAAAGGGTAAAAGACAAATTAAGACACGAAGGTTTACGTCCAAGAAAACCACGCCAACGACAGTAAAGTGATGAATTTGATGAACATGATAACCTCCAAAGCACGGTGATGTGACCGATTACTCCCATAGGACCACTCACGGGTACAGATTAGTCATTGGGGAAGGTTGGTTGGTTCTGAGTAGTCTCTGCTGAACTCATAAAAGGGCCAACGGTATTCAGAGTAGATATCTACAGAGCAGAGTATCCATATGGGGGTGTATAATGCCTTTGAACCACGCTATCCTGTACATGTTTTATTCTTTCGTAAAATATGGGCTCTGCACCTGTCCAGACTGATTTTGAATGGATTTGTCACTATAATACTATCGTCCCTCTTGGAAACCAACACTGTTTCTTTGACAGTATGGATCTTAATCAATTGTGGTGCATATTTGCACTTTGCACGTTCCCTAGACATATCTGGTTTGGTAAGCACAATAGTTTGGACCACTAAGTTTGGAAAGAATCTCATAGCAATTAATTTATTTTGTCCCCAAAACATCTTATAAGCATAGGTTGACATCGTACAGTTGATTCCTCTATATGATGTTCCCTATATCATAATATATTGCAACTACTGTCCTGACAATTTCAAACTAGAAAATGTGGAACATTAAAGATATTGATAGATGATTTTTCTCAGATAGAATTGCCATTTTGATGCCATCATAGCTACTGCAGGACGTTCTCACTCAGAACGTGCAACATTTTCTTTGTTCTGGAAAGATCGGTTATGCAAATGTACAATGATCCCTGTTCATTCCAGCCTATTAATTGGGATTGGGCCATGTTTGAACATAACCATATTTTGTTCATAATGAGTCCAGCCACAGCCTCAACAATGCTCAGAGACTGGGATTCTTTCAACTTTTTGAACTCATTCAGTTTACTACCATCTTTCACTCCGTAGACCCCTTTGTATTTGCTCTCATCATTGACAGTTGTCATCCAATTTGGCCACTCATATGATGTTTTATCACCAGGAACACGTTAGTGGAGACCCAGTCTCGATGTCTGAGAGGTATGGGAATACTGAAAGTCTTTCACCAATGTTTTGAGATCGGAAGTTCAAAATATACTGCTAAACCCTTCGTGACAAGAAGACCGACACTGAGTGATGTCCATTATATCATAGGAATTCTGCCTAAGTCTTTGCTGTTGTGAATCTTACCATCATTGTTTATATTGTTGTAATGACATCTCTTGTAACATATTACTTTTGAATCATATTGTAATCATAACTTCGATCGATTCTGTGGGAGGGCGTAGTCATGGATTGTATGGAAAGCGCTGGTTGGCTGGTGTGTTCACGTGTACCACTACAAGAATTAAAACATATGTACCTGTGACAACCATAACACCACCCACGTTCTTTGTGGAAGACACGAATTGAGATTACATTATGGAGAATCATTATGAAGTAGGTCCCTCGACATGTGTAAGGCAGTTTATCTTGGCACCTACCTAGCACTGCCCATAGAGTGAGCCCTGCTTCCAGACACCTCATGGCGGCCACTGCAGAAGTCCAATATAGCACAAAATCCTTGAATTATCTCACGTGACATGTCTAGCTCCGGACTAGAAAGTTGCCACCTGCTGTTGTGTGTAATCGAGTTGGTGACACATGTGGGTGGATAAACTATGTAACTGTGTGTGTGTGTGTGTGTGTGTTGTATATATATGTCCATTGTTTCCCCTCATCCAATAACTGTCACACTTTTGAGCCGAAACATCATGTCAGGTTTCAGTGGAATAGGAACCAGCTCACTGATGTAGCTTATGTTTTTGCTTTTGTTTTGTTTGCCTTGTCTTTTTGGTAGTAGCCTTATCAGCGCTATCAGGTTCTGACATGAGGTTCCCGGTATTTCTATTTTGTATTATTGTTGGGTTGTCCACTGAATTGGACTCCTATTGTATATTTTTGTATCATCACCTTTGATAGTGTTTATGTGTTTGCCTAAAATGTTATTGTCATGGTTATTGTTGCTACTATTTGCAAAATAATATTTGGAAATCAACTTGGTATCAGTAAAAAAATTAAACCTAGGTTGCGATGACCGTATTAAAGTCAATTCTGCACTTCAGCAAACCCTTATCTCGCCGTGACCCTTTCTTCCTAACATGAATGTATTCAGATAACAGATTAAGGCCCGACACGACCCACTTCGATATTGCGAGTAAATAATACAAGGCATATTCAATGTTTTACAGTGTGTGAATAATGGAACCGGACCACACTGCACGGTTTCATTATAAACAGTATCAGCGCAAATCTACCCAATATCAAGTTTGTTCGTTAGGGATTTTCCTTGTATCCTCCTGGTTTAAAGACTGGTTATTATTTCAACATATGGGTGCAATGCATGACACAGATTTTTATTTCATTCCGGTTACAGTAACTCTGTAATAAACGGCGTGAAAGTAATCTTTTAGTCGCACATAGTATGTAATGTTATGCATAACTGATAACACAGTATTCATTATTTCATCAGGCAGAAAAATGTCCATTTTAAGATAAATCATTTATTTCAACAGGTCGTCCTGGAGGTGAGGGTGGTGCGAGCCTCGGTGTTGTGTTGCACCTCTTTCCCGCCATAGCAAAACAGATAACTGGAACAGACAAAATTCCATTCAAACATTGTCTTGAATAGATATGTTTACCCGTCCCAAACTGTCCATACTAATATTCGGGGTGGAACAGTCATATGTCTGTACTTGGAGCTACTGGCTTAACAGACGTGTCTTGACACTGATTCGGTAGATATTCCTTGTGTATGATATCCTCATACTACAACAGAAGGTAGCGTGACAAGGATCGATTCCGTCATTCTCCCGTTAGTTCAGGGAATCCCCCATCACCATGATCTCGTGGATGCTACAACTATCAGGACTGCGTTTCAGATTCTCGTTTTGGATCCGTTTATTACACTGATGACTTCATAACTACCAGCTCCAGTCCACGACCTTTCAACTTAACAAACGCCTATTCCTTGACAGAGGCAAATGGACAGGATGACTTTGTCCTTTAACAACAATTGGTGTTTAGTCCACGGGTAGAGAGGTGCTAGTTGCGTATGTATAGTGAAATGAACCGTGTTCCCGGAATTGCCAGTGCTCATTTGACGAACCTTGAATTATGCTAAAGAATCGAATGAGTTATGAAGTTCAAACACTCCATACTTCACCATAACACTGATAGCCATGCTCACCACCATACACCATCCTCGCCAACCAGAATTAAATGGAGCCTTGAACTTAACATTACCTGTCACCATTCTCGCCAGATGTAACTTTAACCCGATCAACTTTAAGCGTGTCCTCGCCTCCTCCCAGCCAGAAGCCAGTGTGTTTCACATACTTAAACACTAGAGACTTCAAATCTCCAACCTCCACAGGGGAGACAATCACGTCTTGAACATCACTTCCTGCTTTCACAGCATCGTCTCTGTAATTAAGTTTGTTATAGCCTGAATTATTTTGAAGATACTGTAGAGGGTTAATAAGACATTAACTTCGAGGTAAAATATAATATATCAATATATGTCTTTTTTTCTGAAGTCTTTATATTTGCATGATTAATGGAAGCTGCAATTACCCAGTTACTGGGACGAAATCGCTGGTACCCCATGTGCCTTCCATCTTGACATAAAGTCGACCCTTCGTATCCTTGGTTGAACTTGTTTTGATTTCAACGCCATAGTGGTATCCTGAAACATTGTATAAATGTGACAATATAAATATTCCACTTGGTGTTTGATTTATGATAATTGTATTTCCATATATACGTGACCACTCTCACACTGTAACATATGTTATATTTGGGATTACACTTCCTCAGTAAAGTACAGATTCTAGTACTTGGTGTTTGGTTGAGTCCCATGGGGGATTCGAACCCACACACTAAGAGTCAGGCACCCAAGTGGAAGTCGCGGTGGCTGAGCAGGTTAGGTGGCTGACTTTGTGTGCTGGCGATTAGGTGCCTGACTCTGGGGGTGTAGGTTCGAATCCCGCATGGGACTCAACCCAACAAAAGTACTAGAATCTGTACTTTACTGAAAAGTGTAATCCCAAATATAACGTGTTACATTTGACCTCTTTCTAAACGGCATTGTGTATTCACACTCACACTGGATATCATGCATCATTTCAATTGTCAACGAGTCTTTATAGTCATGTGACTTACCGCAATATGGCGTCTTGCTTCCTGTGTTGAGGTACATCTTACCGCGGGCGTAATACTGGTCGGCGTAATAGCCGAGTTGAGAACAGCCAGTTGATCCACATGTCAGGCACATTCCCTTCTTGAAGTCATCCTGACGCACAAAGGGCAGATAATGTACTTACGGTACGGCGGTTACAATGATCATACTTTGTAGTTTTGGTATGATTGTGACAATGGACACACAATATTTATAGTTATGGAACGGTACTGACAATGGTCGTACTTTACAGATACTTAATGATGGTGAAGAGTCTCATGCTCAGTGAGGATCCTTTGTAACAGACTGTTCACATCATGTGAAATATAGTCTAATAATGCCACACTGAACTGACCACGCATCATACCAGGATATGATTTTATTTCAGGCAACGAACACTCACTTGCAGTTCATAACAAATACTTTTTAGAGTCGTGTTCTCCTTAGGTAAGGAACGACATAATTATGCTTTTCGCAAACAGCTGGTGTTATCACCGATTTTGGTCCATTCGTATAATTTAACCGCTGATTTGCATTTTATGCCTAATGGACTCTGTTTCAGTGCATGATGGACACTTGCTACTATAGGTCTTTGACGTAATATGTTAAGTCAGAACTTGCCATGGAATGACATCTCAGTCACTGCCATAGCCGTAGTACAGCTTGAACCACCAATAGTGTGATTCACATACTGTCTGGAATAGAACCCGTGAATTTAATTGACGAGTGAAAACCGTCGACTATAGAGCAAAACCATAAATGAATGAGTACGTTTACAGTATAGCGTTAATGGCAGAGCACCAACATTGTATCTGCCTGCAGCTGAAACCTCACTAACCACAACACTGCACCATCGCCCAAACAGATGCATACTGGACTTAGTGAGTTAGGGATACCATACAGGGTACCTTGACAAAATGAGTCTGTGATCTGCATGTATATCTAATACCGCTGCTTAAGCCTATGCTCAGTTGCACACTTCTCTATGGTTGTGTTTGCAGATGTTCCTAGGGTTGATTATGCATATGATGAAATTTAGAATTAGAGAGTACATACGTCAAGTGTAACAGATGGCTGAAGACATATGGTTAATTCACAGGCATGCCTTTAACGGTGACTTAGTCCTGTCTGGAAACCATGCATTCTATGTACTGCACTCGTTCGCAGATTGAAAATAGACACATCACGTGTTAACCATGTGTCTGGTTGTTTGATAAAGGTATAAATACACCAGACACGGCTATCTTGTAGTCATACATTTACTACACTTTTTGAAGAAGTAAAATCGTGAATATGTTGACGCAAGTTTCTGGTCACATGTGACGCTATATTTAACATTAGTGTACATGGACACATAGCACTGATCACATACATGTGAAACAGACACAGGAATGTGAAGAAAATATCAAAAGCACAACTGACACACTATTGACACACGACTGACCCAAGTAACTGAAATATTTCAGCGATGACAAAAGAACTGGATTTGAAAAACTGTGGGTGACCTGGAGGAATAATCTCTTTTGTTTAGTTAGCGATTGTTCAATTAAGATACGAAGCACTTCCGTACGTCTGTAATTCTTGATATACAGTATTAGGAGACAAATACTTCAGAGACAACGCTTTTAGACTGATAAATATTCAGCGCATGATATAGAGCAAACATTGAACGTAATTGTAGAAAAGTAACATTTGTACAAAAGTTGGGTTCTCACGTAGATGGGCAGAGGCAATGTAGCGATCACTGACGCTACCCAGTGCGATGTTTGTAGTCAGTGTCGGGTTCTCACGTAGCTGGGTAGAGGCAATGTAGCGATCACTGACGCTACCCAGTGTTATATTTGTAGTCAGTGTCGGGTACTCACGTAGCTAGGTAGAGGCAATGTAGTAAGCACTGACGCTACCCAGAGTGATATTTGTAGTTAGTGTCGGGTTCTCACGTAGCTTGGTAGAAGCAATGTAGTAAGCACTGACGCTACCCAGAGTGATATTTGTAGTCAGTGTCGGGTTAGAGGCAATGTAGCACGTACCTGGTAATATTTGTAGAGTGTCGGGCGGGTACTCACGCAATGTAGAGCAATGTAGTAAGACGACGCCACCCAGAGTAATATTTGTAGTCAGTGTCGGGTTCTCACGTAGCTGGGTAGAGGCAATGTAGCAAGCACTGACGCTACCCAGAGTGATATTTGTAGTCAGTGTCGGGTTCTCACGTAGCTGGGTAGAGGCAATGTAGCAAGCACTGACGCTACCCAGAGTGATATTTGTAGTCAGTGTCGGGTTCTCACGTAGCTGGGTAGAGGCAATGTAGCAAGCACTGACGCTACCCAGTGTGATATTTGTAGTCAGTGTCGGGTTCTCACGTACCTGGGTAGAGGCAATGTAGCAAGCACTGACGCTACCCAGTGTGATATTTGTAGTCAGTGTCGGGTTCTCACGTAGCTGGGTAGAAGCAATGTAGTAAGCACTGACGCTACCCTGAGTGATATTTGTAGTCAGTGTCGGGTTCTCACGTAGCTGGGTAGAGGCAATGTAGCAAGCACTGACGCTACCCAGAGTGATATTTGTAGTCAGTGTCGGGTTCTCACGTAGCTGGGTAGAGGCAATGTAGCAAGCACTGACGCTACCCAGAGTGATATTTGTAGTCAGTGTCGGCACGTACCTGGGTAGAGGCAATGTAGCAAGCACTGACGCTACCCAGTGTAATATTTGTAGTCAGTGTCGGGTTCTCACGTAGCTTGGTAGAAGCAATGTAGTAAGCACTGACGCTACCCAGAGTGATATTTGTAGTCAGTGTCGGGTTCTCACGTAGCTGGCAGAGGCAATATAGTAAGCACTGACGCTACCCAGAGTGATATTTGTAGTCAGTGTCGGGTACTCACGTAGCTGGGCAGAGGCAATGTAGTAAGCACTGACGCTACCCAGTGTGATATTTGTAGTCAGTGTCGGATACTCACGTAGCTGGGCAGAGGCAATGTTGTAAGCACTGACGCTACCCAGAGTGATATTTGTAGTCAGTGTCGGATACTCACGTAGCTGGGCAGAGGCAATGTAGCAAGCACTGACGCTACCCAGTGTGATATTTGTAGTTAGTGCCGGATACTCACGTAGCTGGGGCAGGGGTACGACGTGAAGGGGCAGGGGGAGGACATGGACTCCAGATAGAGTTGGTGGGACCGCCCGTGGCTGCAAGCTACCTCTTCCCCGATGGCTACATTCACAATAAACCGGTTTTCATTTAGCAAATGTATGCGAGCAATAGGTCATCTAAATGTATAAATATGTTTATAACCTTCAGCTTGTACAAAGATATGAGGATCATGATTTAGGCCAGTACGATATAATGACAATACTTTCATTCACCGATCAAGTATTGCTTGACCAGTTGTGCAAGGCATAACATACATACTTTGAACTTTGAAGGTACAAAATACAAAAATTGTGACTATTGTCACTATGATTCAAAATCCTAATACTTACATCCCCCTTTTCCAAAAATACTGCTCAGAGCACCAGATAGGGCCCCCTTACATCCGGGCTGTGATTTACCGCCATTAACAAAGAAATCAACGTGACCGGAAGACTCCATTAAGCCGAACCCTCCCAGAAGAACAGATTCGCCGTTTGTATGGATGACGTCCACGAACAGAGCATCCGCTTTGTCAAGCCGAACTACGTCAGGAAGATTCTCAAAGCTGGGCTCAGCTGGGTCCATACCTGCCAAAAGCCACACGCTGTCTTTCAAGTCAATGTAAACATTAATAATTCTACTGGTGTGTTTTGCCTTAGATTTCCCTTTTTATGCAAATTGTGTGAGGCTACTGGTGAGACATAACATGCTTGCCCTTTCGAATACCTGAAGTAATCACTGATTTCCATTTATCCATTGTTTTGGTCTTCACCCCTATGTGGCCTTTTACGCTCAGTGGCATATGTTTCAGCGGATAATCGAGATTGGTGTTTCATTGATTTTGACGTTTAATGTTTCTACAAGTTTGTGTTTCTCAATTTGAAACAAAACTGATCTACTGGCGTCCCCTATTTGCTCACTCCACTCACCACTAATCCTCCCGACTTTTCCCTTCAGGAGGAAGCCAGCGTACCCCGACGTATGGGCCCCCAGGCTGTGTCCGGCCAAGTGAAGGTCCTGTAGCTTCAGCCCACGGGACACCAGGATATCTACGACAACTTTATCTGCGTCGCAACGAGTCGTGTATTTGCCGCGGCCTGGTCGTAGTTTGGGAACTCTGCACCCTTCTTCCAGTCCACCGTTATAACGTTGAAGTCACCCTGATATTGGAACTCTGGTGTGTTTGAATACGTAACCACTAGTATAACGAGGGACATGATTTGTACATTAATATACGCGTTTGACCGTCGCACTATGTATCACTATGAGAATCTCCCTAGAAGACGCTTGGCTAGAGGTTAGAATTCCTCACTAAAATTAGTCGGTTGTTGTAAGAAGCGATCAAGGGTATCGTGTTTTCAGGCTTATGCTGTTTTTCTTAGATCGATTCTCATAAGGTTAATTGCTGGAATGCCTGCTACTGACCTGATCCTTTTATGACCACCATCATACAGCAGGAATATACCTAAATGGCATTGTGTAATCATGTACCGAGCACAGCGTTAAATAACGCACAAAGAAACATGGAATCAGAAAATTAATATCCTAACAGTAAACAATCATACAGCCCAGCACCAAATACGAAAGTGTACTCAAATGACACACCAGGTATGGGGAACATTTTTTTAATAATGAGAATACATATGGGGGAGGGTATCTTTAAAATGTCTCCACTTACAAGTCTGAGGAATTCATCCTTCATCTCAACTACCCATGTCGCTGATGCATCTTGGCTGAATCCGTGAGTTATGAACTTCGTTGGTTTTGTTGCGTCAAAATCAAAAGATGTAAAAGTTGAGATATTTCTATAATCCAGAACGTGTTTGTTTTTTAAGTTCTTCCTCGTGAAAAGCCAGAACTTCGTGTTCATGACATCCGGTGAATATGGAAGGTCCATGCCGGCATTGTCAAACGGTGGAAAATTATCAAAACATCCGAGGTATTCAAAACATTCCGTCTTATTCTCTCGCGATATCGATACAGGCTTATTCGTTGTTTGTGATTTTGTAGTTTGTGGAGTCGTAGCTTGCATCTTCTGAGTAGTCGATGATGTTGCACTGCTAGCAGCTGCTGTGGATACCTTTACATCTTCTGACGTTGTTGGCAGTTTTCGTGCTGTTGACGCTTCCACGGTGACCTTAGTGGTCGACACCATGGATGATCCCCCGGTCGGAGTCTGCACTGCTATTGATGGTCTAACACTGGTGACCAGAGAATGATCTGTTGACAGTAAACTAGATCCTGCCAAAGGTATATGACTCGGTATTGTCATAGTTTCTGTTGATGTCTCAACTTTGGGTATTGCTGTAGACTTTGGTGTTGGCCTTACTGATTGCTTGGATACTGATGTCTTAGTCTCAGCTCCAGTTTGTCCTGAGAATAGAGTAACATGTGAAGGGGTACCTGTTGATGGTTCTGCTGATAGTCCTGCTGATGGTTTAAGACTGGATATCGGCGTATGGCCATTTGTTGTTGTAGATCCTAATGAAGGGTTTATACTGGTCATCGGTGAGGGGGCACCTGTTCCAATAAGTCCAGCTGATGGATTTGATACTACTGTAGAGCCATCTGTTCCTACAGGTCCCGTAGGCACTGATGTAGGGGCACCTGTTCCCAGAGGTCCAGAGGTGGGATTAAGATTGGATATTGGTGTAGGAACATCTGTTCCTATGGGTCCCGTAGATCCCTTAGGCAATGGTGTAGGGGCACCTGTTCCCAGAGGTCCAGAGGTCGGATTAAGATTGGATATCGGTGTAGATACATCTGTTCCTATGGGTCCTGTAGGTACTGGTGTAGGGGCACCTGTTCCCAGAAGTCCAGAGGAGGGATTGAGATTGGATATTGTTGTAAGAACATCTGTTCCTATGGGTCCTGTAGATCCTTTAGGCACTGGTGTAGGGGCACCTGTTCCCAGAGGTCCAGAGGTGGGATTGAGATTGGATATCGGTGTAGGAACATCTGTTCCTATGGGTCCCGTAGATCCTTTAGGCACTGGTGTAGGGGCACCTGTTCCCAGAGGTCCAGAGGTGGGATTGAGATTGGATATCGGTGTAGGAACATCTGTTCCTATGGGTCCTGTAGATCCTTTAGGCACTGGTGTAGGGGCACCTGTTCCCAGAGGTCCAGAGGTGGGATTGAGATTCGATATCGGTGTAGGAACATCTATTCCTATGGGTCCCGTAGATCCTTTAGGCACTGGTGTAGGGGCACCTGTTCCCAGAGGTCCAGAGGTGGGATTGAGATTGGATATCGGTGTAGGAACATCTGTTCCTATGGGCCCTGTAGATCCTTTAGGCACTGGTATAGGGGCACCTGTTCCCAGAGGTCCAGAGGTGGGATTGAGATTGGATATCGGTGTAGGAACATCTGTTCCTATGGGTCCCGTAGATCCTTTAGGCACTGGTGTAGGGGCACCTGTTCCCAGAGGTCCAGAGGTGGGATTGACATTGGATATCGGTGTAGGAACATCTGTTCCTATGGGTCCCGTAGATCCTTTAGGCACTGGTGTAGGGGCACCTGTTCCCAGAAGTCCAGAGGAGGGATTGAGATTGGATAACGGTGTAGGAACATCTGTTCCTATGGGTCCTGTAGGTACTGGTGTAGGGGCACCTGTTCCCAGAAGTCCAGAGGAGGGATTGAGATTGGATAACGGTGTAGGTACATTTGTTCCTATGGGTCCTGTTGATGGGTTAGGTTTAGGCACAGGTGTGGAAGCACCAGTTCCAGTAGGTTCTACTGAGGGAACAGTATTGGTTGCCTGTTTAGGGATGCTTGCTAAAACATCCTCAAATGTCAGTAGGGCAACACCTGAGCAGGGACATAAACAGATGCATTAGTGAATTGTAACTATTCATAGTTAAATTTTCATTTATGAATGACAAGGACATACATAATTATCTCTGAGAGTCAATATTGAGGAAATGTCTTTTTCTCGATTTTCCAAGAAGTACAAAACAATGGATAATGTTCTGGTAAACTCTCTCAAGAAAACAAGATGCTGTATATAAAACATTCATTTGCACACAAATCAAGATTGTGTGCTGACCGGAAAGAGTAAAGAGCATTTACCTCTGTTTCACTGGTGAACTGCAGGTGATGCATGAACACTAGTGTCATTCCGGGATGTACAGGTTACACGTGAATGGAACCGAATGATATATAAGGGAAGCAACTCATGTTACTGCGCGGCTTACCTTGTCTTCATCAGTCCAGATGCACTTGAGAATGTAAATTGTCATATTTGATTCAAGGCAACTAATACAAAAGGCTGATGCTATATCTTCGTCGTCTTCATCACACCCAGACACTTGTACCATCCCTAGATTGCCACTGTATAAATTAACATGCTACTCCCAATGAAGAGTTATGTCTTGTCGCACACCAGCAAACAATTTTCCCATTAACAGATTAATTACCAATCACCACATTTTTTGTGTTACCTTGTTTCACCGGCATTCCTCTTGTAGATGTGACTCTGGCATGCTGTATACAAATACTTCTAGGCCAGGGAAACTCTACTGTAAGTCCCTATTTGTCAGAGATATCTACTGTAAGTATATTCTATAGAAATTTCTACCACCTTTATATGTGAAGCCGAGTGAGTGGACAACATGCAAAGCAGCTGGATAACCCGTAAATACATGTACGATAGCAGGATATATTTTACGTGCGTTTCCTATGGTTCATGGAAAGTATGTCTGAAACATAAAATCGTTCTCTTGATAATATTGTTTCAGGATTTTCTTTCTATTTACAAGAACGATAAAACACTTCCCCTCGAGTGTTTGTCGGATTTAAAATCGTCGGATGAGTAATGACTTGAAACTACTGTCTCTGATCTATAATTAAATTCATTGAAAGGGTCTATCTCCAAGATCTAATCTCAAGCATATGACCAGTTGATTTAGATTTCGATCATGAATACATGCCATGTGGTTGGTTGGCAGGTATTCATAGAGCAATGTAGTCGTGGTATTTCATAATCGGGGTCTTCTTGGCCATGTTCTTCGTCAAATTATCACATTGGTATCAAAGGGGACAAAGAATGTAATGCTTTAATGTTTTGGTTTGATTTATAAAACGGCAAAGTTAAGTTTGTTTACTCGGATACATCTCGGACTCGGTCCTGTTCCTAAAAAATATATTTGAATATCATTTCCCATGAATCCCTGAATATATACCGGGTCGTATAATGGATAGTAGTTAGTCGGTGTCAAAACTACAAGCATGGCGAAGTCGGTGATAACAGGATACAGCAACACCATCATGTCGCTTAAGATACTGTCTTTGTAACAATGCTGGACATCCACAGATAATGTGTTAAACAATATCATTAGAAAGAATGCTTAAACTACATTTCATATTTACATAATGATGGAAAGTCACACGTTGATGGTTTTGAGGGAATTGTTGACTGGTCCTGAAAAGCGAGGGAAAGCTTTCACTTTTCAGGCCATCCGACTTCATACACACGAAAGAAACTGCAGGGTTGTTTTCAGCTTTCCTTGACAAACTGAGCTTGTGCCGACTTGATATGGTACTTCCACTTGGTTGACACTCATTTTGGACAACAACCATCCACAAAATCAAGATTGACACTGCATCCTTGGCACGTACAAGAATACCTGGTTTCCATGAGTATGGGTATGCTTCAGAACAGGATTATCAATAAAATTATGTCATGATGAGACTAGGCGTTAATCAATCCCTCCGATTACAATCGGTCGATATAATCTATTCAAGGAGGCCCGATGGTGGTGGAATCTATTGTCGAATATGATTCTTTGTGTGAGAGTGTCAATGCCCTGAATTTCGTTTAAGCAACAACGTCAAAAGAATAAGATAGGACAGGTACACCACAAGTATTTGCGACTGTGGCCTTGTTTTTTCAGATTTTAGCACTGGAGTCAAGATGTTCTTAAGTCAACATTTGTATTCTGCCTGAGGTTTGTTCATTATCGGGGATTCTGGAGTTGTCTTTAACCGGGACCCTTAAGTGCGTTTAGGTGTGACCATGAGATGGTCAACTCATCACTCAAGTAACTGGACGGATCCTCCCTCTTCAAACTTGCCACGTTTCAAATCAGAAATGTTGCATTTGTGGCGCCCGAAGGGTCATACCAATATCATTGTGAAATGGACTCGAAAGGAAAATGTGTACATGGTCTGTTGACTGAACCACAACACTAACATTACCTGGACAGTAAGAAGCAAGTTCTACTATTCACAGCAACAAGACATCCAGTTCCTGGTCACCCACCAAAGATATCTACTACTGACAGCAACATCCGGCGTTATCGAAAGACCTGGTCACTCACAAGCAAGTCCTACTATGAACAAGACTTCAAGTCTTATAACACTTCCACTCACCCATGATCAAATTCCACAAGTTATCTACATCATCCAGTGTTTACAAATACATGGGACACCTACCAGCAAGTAACATTTTCCAAAGCATCATGGCTCTGGCTGAAACTGATTCCTGAGTAGCCTAACTGTATCAGCTTGTCAACCCGACCTCCAGGGACAACAACACCTGTTGGAATGACCGCCAGGTGTGATCCGTCTTGAGGTCAGGGAAGACTCTGACCACTGATAACAACACACTGCCTCTTCCAACAGTAATCCTGACCCTGGATAAACCCCATGCGGCTTGAATCATCCAGGTGAGGTAAATCACGTGTTGAATGCAATAAATATATATCAGAAGTGACTTTATACTTACCACAACAAAGGTCAACCGACGGAACTATGCACTCACAGAATACCAATGTCAACAGGTATTTATTGCGGCTAAAGAACTAGGGTGAGGTATTTTTGGTCTGATAAGGGAACGTCAGATAGGCATTATGGCTTTGATCTGTATTCATTTTAATCGTATAATTGTCACTGTTCCCCTTGGAGATTTATCATGATCATATACTTGGCTATAAAGTATATGCGATTACATTGTATTTAGACACACTTTGTCATGAAAGGGTCTAGTACATTTTTAGGGTTAAGTCCCATCCGGTACAAACCAAACTCTCAGAGCCAGGCACTTTATTGGCAGCACGTACAATATGTGAAGCCCATTTCTGGTGCCACCCGCGGTGATATAGCAATATTGCTTTTTATTGAAAATGGTGAGTGAGTGTTGGTACCTACGAGTAGAGCAGGATATTCATACTCTAGCATCATCACTGGACATCATATACGGACCGTGTGTATCATCTCGAATGTGTATCTCTTACATATTCTCAATTGCAATTTGAAGTATAAAAATACTGACGCAACGACACGAACAGATACTATTTTATTCGCAAGTTTTTCTATTGGTAATACTTGAATGGACTTCTACATTGTGCATAACAGTTTTTCCACCAAAGCAAAAGAGGTAACTGAAATAAATAAATGCATAAAATGATTACAATGATCAACACACACTTGGTGGAGATCAATTATTATTCGAACATTGGAAACTTAAATACCACTTATCAAATTGAATTGAAACATCGAGGACAATATTGTTTGGACACTTTCTCATTTAGCTTTTCTCAAAATGGATTAATGAACTGAAGCAATTTGACGACATACAGAAAACATTGCTCAACAACATCGCTCCGTCATTCAAGACGTCCCAAATTGCTTCCATGACGTCAACAATTATAGGTTGATTTCAACTAACTTCTGTCTTCTATATTTCACTGAGGGTATTCCTGAAATTCATTGTTTTTTGTCATATTATTCTCATTAGTTTAAAGTTGATGTCTAACGCAAGCCTTCGTTTATGGATATGGTAGAGTAACAAACAATAACAAGTTTACAACCTGCCGCCATTTTCTCCTGATGTGACCTTGACCTTTTCAATAGTCATCGAATCTTCACTGTTTGCAAACCAAAAGCCGGAATGTTTCACATATTTGAAGACCATGGATGTCAAATCACCAACTTCCTCAAAGGAGACAACCACTTTCAATATGTTACTTTGGGCGTTCATGGCTTCATCCCTGGCACAGATCAATGAGAAATGTATACTCATCAATATAAATAAATCAACGATTTAGCATAGTATATAACGTACCACCGATAACTGGCAAAAGTTGCACTTGTCCTTTCAAAAAGCACCCCGATAATACTAAACCGCATTTGTACTTGGTTTTTGTATTGTCAGGCTTTACATGTAAGCCTAGACGTATACGTCAGAGCTGAATGTCTACTCCAATGACATCATGTGCGTCCTTCCGTCGCCATTGCAGTTGGCGATCTCTGTGGGGACAACAGTTCATTCACATTTTGTCAATATGTATGACAGATTGGTTCTAGGGCATCAAATAAAGCCGCTCTGGCAGCATGCGGTCGTTATCCTATTGAAATGTATGCCTATATTAGCCTTCTTTCGTTTTGGACGAGGATTTGACGTCAACCGCCATATATATATACGAAGAAATGTCATGAAATGTTAAGAAGACTAGATGATAATGGGGATGAGAACTGGGTATTCAAAAGTGAGAATGTTATTATTTAAATACGGTTTCGGCTATATATGGATAGCACAAGAGGTTGGTAACAAGAAATGTTTTCTTGATAATTCTAAACAGTGTTGCAAAGACATGTATTGTCAAGAATGGTATCAATATATAGTTTTTTCCAAAACCTTCACGTTCTATTCAACCATAAAGATAGACTATTGTCTTGAAAAATATCTTGTAACTATTAGTTCAAACGATTTACGGAGATGTTTGACAAAACCTCGTTTGCTATGTACATGATTTCAGTGTTAATTCGTACAGATACTCCAAAAACTATGAGTTTTTGTAGTTCCTGTGTGACTGAACTTGAGGATGAATTACATATTACATTAGTATGTCCTCTTTACATTTTAGAAAAGGTTTAAAATGATTAATAAAATGACGGTACGAAAACCGAAGTTTTGGATTGCATTACGGTATACCGAACCGAAGGCAAAATACCGCGGTTCTACTCTCATATACTGAGAGAAACAAATAAAGGAACACAGGAAAATTCAAGCGTTCCTTTAATATTTTCCAGTTTTCATCCATGAAGTGGTAATCCCTTATTTGTTGCCTCAGTATGTGTTTCAATATAAAGTGGATATGTACTAGTCACATTCCTATTCATAGAAATCAAAGCTTTTCAGCAATATCGTTTGCTTTAATGTAATGTCGTGTTACGTGACAGATCATAAGGGTGCTAGTGTAAAACGATTCATGTTACACGATGGGTTGTAGCATGCAGAACCCTTTCGACGGAATCTCTATAGTGTTAATGGATGAGGAGCTGAATGGATAGAAAGATGGACAGGTGGAGGGGTGAGTGCGTATCTTTAGTATCAGAGTATTCAAAGTTGGATGGATGGATCGATGGATAAAAAGATGGATATCGGTCGGGTGAAGAGATAAACCGGTGAGTTGGTAGATGGATGTGTTGATGGTGCTTGGTGGATCATGGATGGATGGATATATGATTGATGTAGGAGAGATCACTCACCCAGTGGCTGCTATGAAGTTGCTCTCCCCCCATCTGCCCACCATTTTGATGAACAAGCGTCCTGTTGTTTCCTTCATTGTCCCCGTCTTTATCTCCATCAAATAGTGGTAGCCTGGGGAAAATAAACGCCCGGTGTATTTGTTCTAAGTATTCCGCATCCTGAACCAATTGTTTGAGGTTTTTCGAGGCTCTAAAAGAGCGATGCAAAGTCAGTTGGCACAGTACCTCCGTCTAAGACTTCACGTTATCAACCTAACCATATGTAGGATAATTATCGGAAAACACTAAATTTTTCGCCATTTTCAAACAAATGTCTCGATAGGACATTCAGCCAAAAGAAACGTTACGTACTGCTGCGGCCATGTATTCTATCCGATGTATTGTTTTCTTCTGGTCTAATCTTCGCCTTTCAAGTAGGAGATCACATCGTAACATCCTATACCTGATCATCACGAGACTTACCACAAAATGGCGCCTTGCTTCCTGTGTTGAGGTACATCTTACCGCGGGCACTATACTGGTCGGCATAATACCCGAGCTGGGAACAGCCAGTCGATCCACAAGTCAGGCACTTTCCCTTCTTAAAGTCATCCAAGACAACCTAGTGCAAATTAGACAGACAATATAGTTATGTTTTGGCTGTCATAATGCAAAGACAATATCTCGTCACAATGGACAGACAGTATAGTTTGGGTATAGCGGTTACAATGGACAGACAATATAGTTCAGGTATGGTGGTCACAATGGACAGACAGTATAGTTCAGGTATGGTGTTCACAATGGAGAGGACTATAGTTTTGGTACAGCGGTGACAGTTGAAACCAGTGAAACCATTCATTGTTACCGATGGATAATAAATGAATTAGGAAATGCCTGCTATCATTTGCATGCATATACGCATTATGAATGAAGACATAAAGAAGACATTTACAATACAGAAACAGGATACAAATATCTGTACTAGGACTCATAGCATCTGCGCCCGGATGCGTTACCCAGAGTGATATTTGTAGTTAGTGCCGAGTACTCACGTAACTGGGACAGGGATATGATGTGAAGGGGCAGGGGGAGGACATGGACTCCACGTACAGCTGGTGGGACCGCCCGTGGCTGCAGGATACCGTCTTCGCCACACCTAGTAACAAATGGCGTAAACGCTCTATATTAGTATTAGCCAATTACAACATCACAACTATTTCTTTGAATTAGGCAAATGGGATGAGTTATTTTGTATACATGGTGTCGTTCATATTAATCATTTTTCTTGCAAAACTATTACTATTTATTAATTTACAATTTCAGTTCAGAACATCAATGAATTATGTAAAAAACATATAAATGATCCTTATTAAAACCCTCCAGCCCACCCTTCTTCTTTCTTTCACAACAGGACACGCGGTATATGATAATTATTTAGCCATTGCATTAGCGAGATATGTAGATTCTTAGATTGAAGCTAAACTTTAAATGTTGTTCTACTTTTGAGAAATACTATTCTTAGCTCTCTCAGGAGAAAGGTCTAACAAATATATTTCAAAACTTCTTTTATAAACTAATTCCAACTATCTCGTGAATATTCGTAATATGTACATTTTACAAAACTTAATTTGTCTATAACTATGTAACGCTTTGAATAATCAACTCATAGACTGACCTCCTCCACCGAAGATTCCGCTCAGTATACCAGAAACTCCCCCTTTACATCCGGGTTGTGCTTCGCCGCCATTGACATAGAAGTCAACGTGACCAGATATCTCCATTAATCCGGCACCACCCGACAGAAGCGGAGCGCCATTCGTGTGAATAACGTCAACAAAAATGGCATCAGTTTTGTCGAGACGAAGAACGTCGGGCAAGTTCTCGTAGCTGGGCTCTGCAGGATCCAATCCTGGCAATCAATAGGGAAATGAAACAATTGTACACGATTTTCAGATCATTTACGTACTAGCTTGGATTAAAGAATAAAGACGCACGTACCACTAATCCTTCCGACTTTTCCCTTCATAAGGAAGCCAGCGTACCCCGACGTATGGGCCCCCAGGCTGTGTCCGGCCAAGTGAAGGTCCTGTAGCTTCAGCCCACGGGTCACCAGTATATCTACGACAACTCTAATCTGCGTCGCAACGACTCGTGTATTAGCCACGGCCTGGTCGTAGTTGGGGAACTCTGCACCCTTCTTCCAGTCCACCGTTATTACGTTGAAGTCACCCTGGAAATAAAGTAGTAACATGTAGGTAATCGACGTTTATGCCTTACATGTCATACTAAATATCTTACTGTTCATAATGTACGAAGCAAAGTACTGAGTATCTGACTGTAAAGATGCATATGCTTTCACCAATACTGGTAAAGATTGAGAGTCATGCGGACAGGCTATTGCTGAGTAAGAAACCTCTTCGCATCGCGTAGGTTAAATGACTATTTCAGCAATGTAGTAGTTATGGCATATGTTTCGCTAGAGGATATTTGCCTCCAAACCCTGAAGAAACCCAGCTGACAAGTGCCGACAAAGTTGCTGTTTCTGTTATCCCGGCTGTCCCTTTCTCTGCATTATACACAGATCTTAATAACAAGAACGTCAACGATATGACAGTATCGATTAAACAGTCCAGACAGGCTCTATTCTGTGTCTACACGACTTTTCACTGACATTATTTCAAAATTCCTATCATAACTGAAACAAAATTTAGGCAGATCGAACTTCACAAGTAATAACCTATTATTGGACAGTCATACTACTTACAAGTCTCAGAAACTCGTCCTTCATCTTCACCACCCAGTCAGCTGTTGCAGTCTGGGAAAATCCGTGAGTAATTATCTTCAACGGTTTAGACGCATTCACAGATTCAAATGTAGAGACATTTTGATATTGTAGGGTGTGGCTTTTGGTAGTATTTGCCCTTGTGAACAGCCAAAACTTGGTTCCGATGACCTCTGGCGGATCTGGTACGTCATATCCAGCGTTGTCAAAAGGAGGATGGTTGTCAAAGCAGCCTAAATGTTTGTAGCAAACGGTTTTATTTTTAAACGCATCAGGCACTGGAGTAGTTGTTTTCGGCCTAAGGGTGGACGATAAGTCCTAAGGCTGGTCGATGATGCAGCGGTTGGATTTATTTTAGATTCTGGAAGATGGGTTGGCGATGTAGGTGACGTAGGCGTAGGTGTGAGCAATTGAGCTGTCGTTTGAGATGCAGTTATGGCCGTCCGGTGTGTTGCAGGAACTGTTGCAGCTGTAGAAGTAGATGTCGTGCTGTTGACACCGCTGATGCTCAGAACAACCAAACCTGCGCATTAACACATCCCGTTATTGATAACATTAACTGCACACAGAATAAGTAAATGTTCTCGTTTCACCAATATCGTTACGCATGTTCATTTTATCGGTTACAAAAACAATACTTTGGACAGTTACATAAAATGAGACTATGAGCTATTGAAATTAAAGTGGAAGATGGAGAGAGGGACATGGAGTTGATTTTTCAGCAATATTACATCTTATCTCGGTGACCTTTAAATACTCAACCGTCACACGAGTGGTGGGTGACGTTGTCACGTGGGTTTCACGTACCTGACAGTCGTCCACTCACATATATATCGCCCGTTTGCTAAAAGAGTTGTTGTCTGAGGTATAGCGTGACATCTATCATCCGCCTTACTCTTAGTACAGACTGATATTTCTTGGTCGAAGTGACGTGTTTTTCGAATTGGATTCACAGGCGAAGGTTCATAGTACTTCAATACGTGATTTTTATCAGTACCATCTTAAGTTCCATAAACATAAGCAATGTTTAGTTTCAAGACGTTTCCGTCTGAGAGAGATCCCTGTCACTGGAAAAGCCATGTTCAGTTTTTCGTGAATTTGTAAAATGGTGACAGAATTAAAAGTTTGTTGTTGTTACATAAATATAAAACTGACAACAAGCTTAGAAGCACATTAGTATCCACGTTTGATTCCTCACTTTAACTTTGCATTGCTCAACGCAATAGCAGTTTAGTGGGCTCTATTCCTCTGTCACACAACCACATATATATACTAGCCACATAAAGAAACTGTGCATTGTCAAAATATTATCCCAGTTGATAAGTACGATAACAATGTCAAAGGAACATATAAACTTTAATGGAGGGATCATGAAACCATAACAAGTCGGGAGAATTTCAATTGAAAAGTCAATCACAATGACGTCACGAGTCCACAAGCGGGACAGGGGTCAAACGACCATGTCAGAAGCTCAATAACGGGTATGTCCACCATCGGCATTGAGAACAGCAGTGCATCGACGACGCATAGAGCCTATCAAACGTGCAAGGAAGGCTTGTGGGATGTCACGCCAGATTCTCTCAAGTTCTGTTGCAAGGTCAAAGACGTTATCTGGCGGATGAGGAAGACGGCGTAGACGTCGATCCATCTCGTCCCAAACATGCTCTATCGGGGAGAGATCCGGTGAATTTGCAGGCCAAGGCAGTAAGTCAACGTTGTGGTGTTGCAAGAAATCCATAGCAACCCTTGCCGTATGAGGGCGGGCATTGTCCTGTTGGAATGTTAACCCAGGGCCATGACGTTGCAGAAAAGGAATTGCCACAGGTCGAAGAATCTGATCCCTGTAGCCCACACAAGTTAAGTTGCCCTGAACAATCACCAAAGGAGTTCTTTGGCGTGCTGTTATTCCACCCCAAATCATCACGGAACCACCACCAAAGCGATTCCTCTCCAAGACACAGGCCTGTGCATAACGTTCTCCCACGCGTCTATAGGCACGTTGACGTCCATCACTATGGGAAATGTTAAACCTGGACTCATCTGTAAAAACAACATTTCTCCACCAAAACAAGGGTCTGCGGACATGATTTCGGCACCACATTCGGCGAGCTTGTCGATGACGTTGTGTCAGGATAGGCCGTATGGCGGGACGTCGTGGTCTGATCCCGTGATGACGTAAACGTTGTCGAACTGTGTTGGGGTGGATACGGCGAAGTCCTGGGATGGTTCGGGCAGTCATCACTGCAGTCTGAAACCTGTGGCGAAGATGGGTCACCCTTATCCATCTGTCCTGTCTTGGCGTTGTTACACGTGGACGTCCAGAACGTGACCGATCGATGACGTCATTTGTGTTCTGGTAGCGTCTCACCAGTGCAGAAATGGTGTTCCGGTGGCAGTGGAAATGTGCAGCCACTTGTCGTTGAGACATTCCCCCACGGACCATCCCAATGGCCTCATGACGTTGTGCAGACGTGAGCCTTGGCATGCTATGCTTTTCAATAGCCGTTTAATTTTTTGAACGATCGCAAGGGCAGGGGTTGAGCTTTCCAAAGTGACAGTATTGTGTTGGCATTCATTTGCTCTGTTTCTCTTTCCCGGAATGCACGTGCAACAACGTATTGCACGTCTCAAGGACGAACCCACTGACGTCACGGAACGTTGCACGTGCATGCATGTTGGATACATGTAACTAATCTCTGAGTTTAAATCCTTATGTGTCTACACAGGTTTGATAAATTTAGATTTTAAATTTTTGTATGCACAGTTTCTTTATGTGCCTAGTATACTTAGACAAGTCAAAATGTAGAGGAGAAGAAAACTATAAAAACATTATATTTCCAATTTACCCTCCTTCCGACAGGTGTTTCGTTGTTAAAAAAAAATCGGTGACGAACGTGTGTGGCCTCAAAGTCGGAGCGCTAAGAACCTTGATAAAGAAGGCTACTTGCAACATAAACTCTTCATTGCTGTAAGACATTCACAACACCAGAGACAGCCCGACTACCAGGTCATACCTGGTGACAGGGGGTCTTTAAACATCATTACATGATTGTCTTGGTGGTTCAGCAAGTGTTCTTATGTACTTCATGTAATTTACACGTCCAGTTATGGACTACTTTTGCACTCACTCTTAACATACATTGCCTTCAAACAGATAAGCTATGAGACAGGCCTGGATGGCACAGATGTCCTTCTCAAGCCCACCATAAGCTGACTATGCCAGTAGTGTCTCATTGTCGATAAATGATAAAAAATGTGAAATTCAGCTATTCCGAATAACGTTACTCAGGAAATGTAATCGACAGAGCAAATGTCACCATCATCAGACATACAATTCAGACTTCATCATAATATTCAATTATAAATCAAACACGACTAAATAGATATGATACCGTGTGGCACCAGTCACAAAAGGCAAGGCAGTTGTATAAACATCACGTAATCTGTAGGTAGCTCGTCATTGTAATTATAAGAAACAATTCTTTAAGTCAAAATACGTATGACATGCCATCCTCAAGACACGTGTACCTACATGTAACGAGAATCAGCCATAACGACGTCATGGCGGCGAGTGGTGCCTGGAAGTGGGTGCCGTCAGGGTGACGATATTGATGGTAACAGGTCGGTCGATGAGAGCTACTGAATGTTTACATTGAAGCCATAAACTGGGAAAGCGCCGTAGAGTTTTTATCTGTGACACAGACATGAGATAAGATATTATTACACACGTGGGTCAAGCCAATCCCCGAAATTCTTCATGACCCCTGCATTACCACAAATACAAAACGTGTTTGTTTTTGCAAGATTGAATAGAGCACAAGTTTCTGTGTACATGTATTATATTATTTTCAAATTTGTTAAAATTTGATGCAAGTTCATATCGTTGCACGGCAATGGAGGCGGCTGTTAACCTTTTTGTACCGAATGTTGGTAAACATCGAGTGCTGTCGGCAGCCTCGAGTGAATAGAAGTTAATTTATCTCCTCTGATAAACACATGATCTTAATTTGTTCGGGACGGGAATGTTTCTAGAAGTCTGACTGTACCCACACACATGGAATAATATTTAACACCTATATAGCCATTGGTATCTATCTCTTAATTATGTTTGTGTGATTATTTTGGCCCTTCAGACCAACCGTACAATGATTGTAGATATGCACGTGCTACGATCAAAGGCGATAATCACGTGCAATATGTGTACCTGTCATTAAGCAAATATTAAGTTTCAGAAAAATGTGACGCTCGATAACTTGGAAAATCAATTGATTTCGTTGTTGCTAGGCAAATGTGGGCCTTCTCAACTGACATCTGTTCAAAGATGGCAATTCATTGGTATGCTGGCATTTCATTGAGGGTTATTGCAAGATATATTGGTGGTCATCCATCGACTATCAGCTGATTGGCCAGAAAACATCAGCAAACTAATGACGTCAGCGTTCTAGGGAGGATATAGCCATTTTTAGAATCATATCATTCCATCATTGATGGAGTGGGGTTGTCTCTCAGATAACTGTAAACTTGAACTTGTGATGATCACACAAAATATGAATGGACAACGGTCCATCACTGACATCCTAGACAGGGTTATCGCGCACATTCACGTTGGTGATATCTTACGTCAATAGGCCGCCATATAGCTAGAATATTGCTGGGTGCGGCGTTAAACAACAAACAAACTTTAAGATGCGGTAGCAACTCTACCTTGCTCCCTAGGAGTCCAGATTGCAGTATCATACAGCATGTTTGGGACATTATGGGTCGCAGATTTCACCAGCTATTGACATTGTGCTACGTATATTGATACTTACGTGATTTCTTGAGGATTGTATTCCAGCTCTTTTAACGTCTTATGAACATTTTTTGCCATGTTTGTTTCTTCAAACTGTAGTGTTTCATTATTTTTTTGTTTAGACTTACCATTCAATTCTTCCTCGAATGTCAGTATATCCAGATAGTAAGTTAACTTGACTTGTGTCTAAGGTCCTTTGCTTGGTTAATTGATACTGCGATAAACAGACGTGTTGCGATACTTTTTTCAATGTGTATACATATTAGCGACACGTGGGCGTTTCGACACATATTACAAGACCTTTTTATCTATGTTCCAGTTTTGAAAAATCACCGCTCGAATTCCTTCCAGCTCCCAACATCATTACTTGTTCCAGATTCTACATACAGGTTTTAAGACAATTTACAGAGATACAATTTCTGAACTTTATTCAATATTTACTAGATTTATGTTCGTATGTTTCCTGTACTTGTATTACGTATATTGATTGTAAATCTAAAAGATATCTTTCAGTGGTTCTTATTATCTATTTGTTGATCTTGTGATATTACTTACTGATTGCTCAAATTACGTATTGGCATTTTTTCTCACCGTGGAAAGTCGTTATTACCAGCTGTTACTATTTCTGTTTTCCTCTTCCGAATATATAGTTACATGAAGTTCTTTAAGCCTAAACAAATTCCATTTCACAACAAAGCCATCTAATAAGCAGAAATGAGCAGCCCATATCTTTCGTACATTGATAGCCTACTTTCACATTTTGTCGTTCTACACATTGGCGTCCTGCTTTCAGATACTGATGCATATTATCGACCAGTTCCTGGGTTCAATTCAATCAGATGTACCCCATAGCTGTAATAAGGAAACCGTGGAATTCGCATCCTCTTTTTAACATAGCAAATGTGGGTTCCAAAACAAAGTGTACAGTTTGAGAAGTTTTACATCGCGTGGATCTCATGATGTCACCGGTGTCAGGACGTAATGAGCTAGAAGATGTGGAGTGAGTGAGTAAGTTTAATTTTACGCCGAACTCAGCAATATTCCAGTTATATGGCGGCGAGAAGATGTGGAAGTTGCTGATGCTCTTCTCTCGACAACATCGTCGGTAAGCTTGAACATACCCCCATATGTCATCTTGTGCCTGTGCTGTAAAAAGTAACATTCAAAACACAAACAATAAAACCACAATCTAATGAATTTATTATTGATTAGAAAACTGTAAAGTGATGTACAAAAGACAGTAAACATCCAGTGTTATTTTCCAAAACAAAGTAAAACTTTTGAAAATAGTTTTGAAAGTGACTTACAATCACAAACAATGTGATGTGTTGCCAAAACATCATAGATATCGTACCAAATCTCACAAACCCATTGTTGGCAAGGGGTGTTAGTAGCATTCCCAAGGTTACAACTATAAAAACAGAATCTAAAATGGTAACATTTCCCCCATATTTCTTGAAACTTTACGAATAACGTCCCAATACAAACCTATGCTGAAAGTTAAGGTTAACAATTCGTTACAGATAGGAACAGTTGTTAGATGAAATTGAAAAGTTTACACAATCGAAACATTTAGAACAAAATCAGAGGGAAACAAATACGGGGAGTGAGCCTCTTGCTCTTGTTTGGCCCTAGAACTCTACTTTGGCAAAACTACTCAGTTTGGCAAAACATGAAGGGAATTTAGGTAAAATGGGGAAATTATCTTCTTCAAAAGTTGTAATATGCATATTTAAGGTAGAAATTTGTTATATGCAAGTTTATGAATATAATATTAATAACGGCTTTTAAATGCAAAATAGCTGTTCATGGAACTGTGAACTATATATTTTCATTCATTCATTTATTCATTTCGGTCAGTTTGAGAGTTGAACCCATTATGTGTATTTGCACCATGGAGCTGCACAATCAATGCTTAGCCAAAGCATACACTACACTAACAATGGCTGTGAAATATGAGTCATGAACATTAAAAACTAATACAGGATTGTCTCCTTAATGTCACCCAACTGACGAATATCACATAATGCTCATCATAAAACCACCCCATTCGCCCAAGAGAGCCAGTTCGGCGAATAATCAGTTTGAGTTGACAATACTCGGAGCCATATGTCAATGCAAAGTATCCCATTAAATCACAGATATGTGAAGTTTAGACTTCCTTTAACGTATTCCGCCGTTAATGTTACCGGAATACATACTCCTTTGTGATGTTTAATATACAAGCTGGTCATGGTCACATCAGCAGCAGGACTAAACGTAACTTACTGGTACGCACAGAATAGATAGATATAGACATCCAAGTACTATATCTACATGTCGACACATTTGAATGTAATGACACATTATATTCCACATTATCAGCATACAGTACAATTCTTGAATTAAGGGTCAATGCTTACAAATCGAGTGCTGTAGGTATTTTTGGATCTTATCGAAACCTACTTCATGTTGCCTGATCAGATAGTGTTCAAGTCACCTGGCCAAAAGTTGCCTAATTAGAATCAATATTTGATGCAGGTATATTTCCCAGGGGCCACCGGTACGATTGCGGGAGCGAAACATGCAACCGCAGTGGAATCTGGGACGAAAAATCAATGACGTTCTCAATGCTGATTGGTTGAATAGTCCCATGGTGTTAGACATCCGATAAAGGACTCAAAGAGTGCTACCTGGCTAAGCAGAACAACTGTAAATAATGAATCGTCAATTGCCAGAACTTAATTACAGGTACAGCACCACACAGATTTATCAATTATTGATCCTTTCTTAGATCCGACTCGCCTTTTCTAAAGCAATCGCGTTAATTTGCGTCGTTTCCTTTTCACAATCAACACGTAACAACTACCTACTGGAAATGTAATTCTCAGACCAGAGCTTCATTTGGCGTACGCAGGTCGCCACAGACTGAACCATGGCGTTTTTAGTCCCTGTGCTCGCCATGTTCCTGATTCCTCTTGTCAGTGGAAGTCATCTCACCAACAAGATTTTCAAATGGAACATCACCGAGCCTGTTGGATACATTTCTGTGGGTAAGCGCCTCGACGGACACTGGTTCTACCAGGGCTACAAGAAAGATGTCTCTCTCTGCGCCTACCAGTGTCTCCGACAACCGCAATGTCTTTCCTTCAACTACGAAAAGGACAGTAGCAAATGCATCCTAAACAGGAAGAACCACGTAACTGCCCCCTTGACCAACGCCGCATCCAACTACGTCAGCTACCATGCACGGGAAGAGTACAGCATTGACCGTGTAAGTTCCCTCTAATATTATAAATATACTCAAAGGTAACGGTACATGTCATCTTGTCAGCGGGATACAGGCGGTCTTTTCGTAGCGAAATGTGTGTAAACTATGAACCTTATGTAAAAGTGTGAAACCCGGCATGGTCAGATATAGATTGAATTTATTGAGTGTATCTACATAGTTAGTCTGAGGCAACTAAGTGAATCGGTCATCCAGGTTCAGAAACTTGGTTGATAGCAGATCATCGTATCGCAATAGAGAGGATCGATGTTCATGATTTTAATCACTGGATTGTCTTATCCAGACTAGGTTCTTTACAGAGCGTCCGCGAATAGCGAGAATAATGCCGAGCTGGACTAAGCAGTTGGTTCAATTACGTCACCAATGATGTCCGCATTACATCTGTTGAACTATATGCAATATACTATTTCAGGACAACCGATTATAGAGACACAAACTTTCACATGATCGGTTACATGAGTATTGTAGTAACCAATGGCTCCAGGTATCAACATACTTTGCTCTCTTTATAGACATATCGCATGACATATTACATTTCTATGTTCCCTTTATAGCAGAATGACGTATTATATTACTATGTTCCCCTTTATATATATACTACAAACAAAAAGTATGGGAACACCTTAAAATTTCAAAGTCATATATAAACTTAAATGTAGTGAGGTCATATATACTCTAAGGTACATGCAACTTTTTGTGTGCTTAACAAGCACAACTGATTCAATATTCCAGCTCAGCTTTATTCTCGCTATTCGCGGACGCTCTGTAAAGAACCTAGTCTGGATAAGACAATCCAGTGATTAAAATCATGAACATCGATCCACTCAATTGCGATACGATGATCTGCTATCAACCAAGTTATTGAACCTGGTTGACCGACTATCAACTTTTCGGGTGTTCCCATATTTTTTTGTTTGTAGTATACATGTATATTATAAGTTGTATGGTTCTCTCGAGGGGAATACGGTCTGATGTACGCCTTTTGTAGCAACGTCGCCCGAGCCGGTAGGCGAGGGATGACACTGCTACAAACAGGCGTACATCAGGCCGTATTTACGCTCTTGCCGTCACAAGCCAAGGCCGACATATGTTCTGTACTTTGAATCTCATTTGTCTCTGAGCCGGTGTCAGTATCAGGAGGCCGAGTTCCGAGTCAGTATCAGGAGAAATCTGAGGCGGTACATCACGACTAATATCCATGAGATCGACAATATCAGAGACCGATAGGTTCTGCTCTGACTATATACACAGAGAAAAAAAGTTAAGCACCTCCCCATGATCTGTCCCAAATGCAGCATGATCATGCATCAAAACTTCACTATTTAATCGGCTGTTCTCCAATGGTTTATCATTACCGTGAACAATGGCACGTAGGAGGTTGTCAGGAGCGGAGAGATGGCAAGTTATTGGTTGCCACACAGCAGGACTAGTCAGACTAGTCAGAAAACTGAAAAATGTCCAGACTTATCACGTGAAGGACTGCCTACGTCCAGGACGTCCCTCTGTGACTTCACATCGTGAAAACAGAGCACATTTTCGGCTGGTGAGACGTTTACCAATTGAATCCAGCACGGTCCGAAAGCGTCAGTGGCTACCAAATCGCGTCTCAGCTCCAAGACTGTAAAGAACCGGTTAAGGGCTGCTGGATTGGCTTCACGGAAAGCCATCAGACGTCCACTGTTGACAAATTACCATAAAGACGGCGTTTGATTTGGTGTTAGATCAGAAGGAACTGGAATCTGATGTCATGGAGATCGTCCCACTAGTCTGATGAAAGTCGGTTGTTGCTCCATGCCAAAGATGGTCGAGTCGAGTGCGAGTCTGGAGGCATAGAAATACTCCCAAGAACATCCTTTCCTTGGTTCCTTTTGGAGGAGGTTCAGTGATGATTTGGGGATGCTTTTCACATGATTGCAAGCTGGACTTGTTAACGATACATTGCAACTGGACCGTTGAACGGTACATCCGGGAGGTGCTGGATCCTCAGTTTGACAATCACACTCTTGCCTCTAGACCAGTGTACATGGATGATGACGCTGGACCCCAGTGTTCCATTCTAGTGAACAACTTCATCCTAAACAATGCTGTGAGTAGGATTGGACAGCCAGCTATGAGTCCTAATACCAACCCTATTAGCACATTTGGGACCTCCTAGGTCATCGTGTACAGGCCTGAAACCCTCCTGTATAGAATTTGAGAAGACTGGAGCAAGCATTACATGAGGAATGGCACAGATTACCCATGGGGGTTCTCTTTCAACGTCTTGTAATGGTATGAGTCGAAGGGTTGCGGCCGTCATCCGGGCAAATGGGGGGAAGTAAGCGTTATTGTCTCCAAACTCTTGTAAACACCCTATGTGACCTCTGCGACAAAACGTCATCATCTAATGTTAGTTGATAAACTTTTCAGTTTCATAGTTTCATGCAGTATTCATTTTCATGAACATTACCTCATTTGGATATCATGCTCTATAGCAATAAACGTCTTAGTGAATTCGTCAATTCTGGTGTTCTTGTATTGCCAAATGTTTATTCTTTGATATCTGTCCCTTTCTGCGCACGTCTACTATGTCATGGTTACTTTATCATTATTTGTGTTGTAACCGACATCCAAAAGCACTGTATGTCACTATGTAAATTTAATTACGACGTTTTTTGATCTAATACTTGAGAAACCTAAGACACTGTTGTCAGTCAAACATCAAGTCGGATTCGTATGAGCTAATTATCCTCTTGACTCTCTCAACTAATTTTGAGCTGTGAGATATACTGTAACACTTTTAAATGTGATTTTGTTGGGGGGTTGGGTTGGGGGGTAGGGTGGTATAGAGTTTTAACCAAACCAGCAACCTTTTGTTAGTATTGTTTAACGGGTTCTCCATACATGTTTTCTATTTTGGGGGCTTTAAGCTCATTTCCCATCAATTAGCCCATTATGATGGCGGCATCATACGTTGTAGCTGATTTTGGTCTGGAATATGTTGATTTCGAAGCGAAATCAACAGATTCGAGTGATTTGTTCTATACAGGGTTCGTTCGCTGAAACCATTCTACTCTGAAACTCACTTGGTATATGGTACTGCACGTGCCTATGTCGTGGTGGTTCTATGTCAAGTATGTAATCGTTCACCTTATTTTGGGATACCGTGTACAAGTAAGCATTTCGAAGCCTTTTTCGTCTGAAATTATGCAGTTCCTATTCATCAATTCTGGTATGTTGTATTGAAAATAAAATTAAGTAATTGATTTTTGGTATGTGTCACGACACTTGCAGCTACATGTTTATTACAAAATCAACTCAATTACTCGTCTTCAAAATGTAGCTGCTGCTTAGTGCAGTAACATGAAATCATTCGTCACATGCAAACTCTATAACGGTTTTATTATATATATTGATATTGACCTAAGTAGGTAAATATCCATTCCATTTCAAGACACTGTAATACTTCGAGACTGGAATGGTAGGGAACGCATCAACAGAGAGTCCCGATCGGTCGCACAACAAGCAATTCTAATATCAGAAACTTCCAAAGATTTGCATGACCTAACTGGTCTGGTTATCGTATCGCATGGTGACAATCACTGGATTGTCTGGTCCAGACTCGATTGTTTACAAACAGCATCGTACAGCTGTAATACTGCTGAAACTTACACATACTCATGATATAACCCGAATTGTACAATCTGCATTTAGCTGAGATTTCTTATGGATGCGGAAAGAGTTTTGTCGCTTCTACTTGATCAGAACAATTTTAATCAGGTCAGTCAAGAAACACCAAATTGTTCTACGATTTAGTTTCTACTTCAAGCCAGCAATATTTTAGCACTACCATGATGCATGTTAGCTGAAAAAGCCTAGCCTACAGAACTAAGCGTTTATTTGGACTGGAATTATATTATCACACCCTCTCCATGTTGAAGAATTTAGAGTCTATGTAAAATTCAAAATTCCATAACGATGGTGGTCCGATTTCATCAGGTACTTTGTGTGTGTGCATGTTCAGGAAGCGTTAGGTCCGTGTGCCGATGATGTCTGCCACAGTCATGGACGTTGTTTGGAGACCAAGACGACTGGCGACCAGCTCGTAGCAATCTGTGTGTGTAACAAGGGATGGGGCGGTTCCGACTGCAGCACGACAAGTAAGATTCCTTCCTGATTCTCAAAGACAACGTTCCGAATGTTGGAGTCACGGAACTTTGCTCTTTTCGTTGAAGTTATTGTGTTTTGACAATTTTGCAAGATGAGAATATACGTTTTTTAAACTATTTCAGTTTTGTTACATATTGTTGTGCCTTCACACGCTTAAATAGTACAGGAATATATGGAATGAAGGCTCATGCTTTGTGATATTTCATGGAAAAGTTGAATGTGTTACTGTCCTGTTTGTAGAACCCGAGCCCCAGTGGGGTGCGTGGCAAGACTGGGACGACTGTTCCGTCACCTGTGACCAGGGCTGGCGCTTGCGCAGGAGGAACTGCGAGGATGGCAACTCTGGTCAAACGTTGAGCCCCCTTGAGTGCTATGGTCGTGACATTGAGTATGGATCATGTCAGCTACAGGCTTGTCCGCGTAAGCCATTCTATTATACAGTACTATAGTTACAATATAAACGTGTTATTGTCCAAAGCTCATTATGTTATTGTAATTTATCACTAAATAACAGAATGAGCTCATCGTCGAAAACCCATACAAAATACCTAGATGTGGAGAGCGGCAACAGTTTTGCCGATACGATGTCATCAACGCTATTTTTGTAGGGAACACTGGATATCTTTGCGTGAAATAGATGAATATATCCTTTATCACTCAATGTTAGTAAAATATAAACTTTAAATGATATTAAGATAAAAAAATCGTTTTTGTCCTACATCGTATAAAACCCCTGACACCAGGATAATTCATATTTTACAGCCCTATTAAGGCAAAAACAGGACATGTTTTGCTTAAATATTATGTCACCATTCATCCTATTTGTCAGCAACTTCATTGTAGTTAAACGCTGGACCAATGATACACTAAACTACACGCACTTGCAACTACACGATTCTGATGTAAGGGTTGTTTCTGGACGATACAAATTAATTAGTTATAATTGCGTCACTTTAACTTGTCTGCCTCATCCTCAGGTTGGGATTCCTGGGGCGAGTGGGGTACCTGCACCACCTACCAGACCTGTGGTCGTGGATACAAGGTACGCAACCGCTCCTGCAACAATGGAGGAACGCCAGGCGTTGACCGCTACTGTCTGGGCCCCACAAATGAAACAACGGTGTGCCACAGCATGGACTGTCAAAGTAAGTCAACTTCACAGAGAACTGAACGTATTCCAATCATTTGTTGTCTCCTGATGTTTCGTAACGGCTTTGATAAATGAACAGGTCCGATACGTCTTCGCGGAGGTTCCGCCTACGGTGAAGGCCGCGTGGAAATCTTTAATGACGAAGTTCGTCAGTGGGGCAAGATCTGCGGAGACCAGTGGACACAAGGAATGGCTGACCTGGTGTGTAAACACCTTGGAATGCCTGGAGCCCATGATGGTAAGCCTTTATCTTCTTCAAAAGCTGCTTTACTATACAGATTTCAGGCATGAATCTAACCATGTGATGAAAATTGATTATGAGTCATTGTGGTTAGTTTTGAGTGTTAGCTCTTAATGTAGATGTGAAAATCAGCAAGACCTATTATGCAGGTTATTATATTGTTGATTAGTCAGTCTGACTGGTTTTATTATAGTTCTATTTAAATTATTAATCATTCTGTGTTTTCAAATGTAATGTTGGACTTTGTATCAGCTACCCAAGACAGCCGGTTTGGCGCTGGTGATGTGATGTATGGCGTCACAAGCCTTTCTTGCCATGGAGGGGAGAGAACAGTACAGATGTGTGAACGGAACCCCTGGTCCCTCACTTCGTCATGCCCGGGGTTGACAGAACCGGCAGGAGTCATGTGCAAAGGTAGGTGGGCCAGTCTCCACACGGTTAGTAGTCTATAAAAAGATAGTCCGTGTTTCTTTACAATGTTCTCTCGTGTGTGATTAAACTATAACCCTTTCAATAATAATCTGCTTGCATCTGCGATGACGTTCCCGTCAACACAGGTGACATCAAATTTAACAAAGCCTACAATGTATACGACAAAGTACACATAAATGATAAAACATTTACCTTTCAGTCAATGGAGTTTGGTCGCTGTGGGGTGAATGGGGAGAATGTTCTGTAACCTGCGAATCCGGTATCCAACAGCGCACGCGCAGTTGTAACCATCCGCCTGCATTGCATGGCGGGAATGATTGCGTAGGCGAGACGGAACAGACGAGGCCGTGCACTCTCGACATGTGCCCAGGTAAGCGTGGTCTTCACATCCTACCCTGTTGTCCTACACATATGATGTCCTCTGTAAATAATGAAGTGATTAACCCGTATAATACCTCGACTACCTCCCTGTAGAACTGCATGGCTACCCCCAACCATCATCATCCTCGTCCTCCTCCTCGTCTTCCTCTTCCCTCTCCGTTCCCAGCAACTGAACTGTGAACCGTCAAACGTTATTACGTAATATATTCAAATCGTTTTCAAGTTGTATGTGACGAAAACCGCACCAAAACAGAAGAAATTATTAATGTTTTCAACTAATAAGAAAAACAATGATTTGCCAGATGGCATGTCACAGTCTGAAAGTGTGAGTGATGCTTATACACATGGGGGTGAGCCATCTTGCTGTCCGGATTTGGTACTTCAGGTACAGTACTAGTGTTTGCGTCATTTCATTTTGTAATTGTAGTTTGCCATAGCAATGAGTCTGTGGAATAGGTCGTGTGGTTACCGCTACATATTGAACGTTCACGCCAGTTGATGCCTTCCCACCCTTACCCAACGTTTCCCAGAATGCATTTAAATTATCATTCAGTACTATCATTCAACAAATTAATTGTATCAATGGCGGTAAGAACAGAGACAATGAGTATGTACATGTAACCGATTTGTTAACATAAGTGTGATGTCTTTCGTGATGTTTAATATCATGTTCTTATGATGTGTTTCTCACTCAATCCCCACTCTGGACTCACCTTGTCTCTTCAGTCACATGATCACGCAACTGTAGAAGTTAGACCTGCACACGTCACCCTCATCAGCACTTTATACTCTAGTCGTCTAGGCAACACGCCAACAGAGACACATGTAGCATCATTGTTTCTAGGCAACGGTACATGGCAAGAGTGGGGCATGTGGGGGCCGTGTGACTGCGAGCTTGGTGAACAGGTGCGTGAGCGTGACTGCGTCAACGCGACCGACGTTTGCACTGGCAACGCCACAGACGTTCAGGCATGTGGTGCAGGGATGTGCACGACAGGAACTGGTACGGAGTCGGTCACTACTGAGCTGACCACAACACAGGAAGTCACCACTCCATAGCATGCACTGCAATAGGATATGATCGCCAATAGTTGCTACATAGATTAAAATAGCGCAGTTAGTTAAGCCTTGCAAAATATGACAAGAAGCATTTATGCTTCACATTTCTAATGCTTGTCGTGAAACCTTATAGTACATTGATGTTTCATGACTATAAGCAAACTTTCAGTGGCAGCAATAACTGGCCATATAATTTTATCTTAAGTGGTAGATAAAGTTAAGCCTTTACAATCATATGTAAATTCCCTGCAGTGTCACAAGGTCAAGTTAATGACTCTTAACATTATTGAACATGGACCTGGTATCTGCTAAATTCAATTCATGATACTACGAAGCAGTGCTCTCATTCTGGCCAAGTTTGTCACATATATTTGTAGTGATTTGCCATTAATCCCGAATATTTTAGTTATCCCACGGCATTCCATCATGAAGTTGGAGGAGAGTAGAAAGACATGCCGGCTATATGTTTCTGTCAAGCCTAGGGACATGGACACCTTTACCACCAAATATAAATTGAAACTTAAGGCTATTTCATTAATCCACTGAGACGCTTGAGGAAAACCTTTTCCTAAAACCAAATATTGACAAGATGCGTTGAAACTGCCAATGCGATGAAATCTTTATGACGCATATTTGTGTTCGAAATCATTGATATGTGTTTCCGTGTATTTCCTTTTGACTCTTTTTGTTAGTCTGCCTCCAAAGTCTAATACAGTGTCCAGCTCATATATGACGCTATGTCAATTCATTGCCCAAAGGAATATACAATATCTCGAAAGATCTCGTCCCGGTACGCTATTTATCTGGCAACGAGAATTATTAACTACATCCTTTTCTCTCCTCATGTAGAGCCTGTTCCAGGTACTGTCTGACTGATGGGGGACATCTTGCTGACACACTTTATGCCTGAGTCCTTGAACTGTCAAGGACTTGTTTTTGGATCAAAGATATCTTTGTTTCTGACAAATTGCACTCAAAACATGGTACGACCACCGTCATATTAATGAACACCTTAGGTGTATGCTTGGACATTTGCCATTACGTCCGTATACCCTATATTACCACCATACAACATATTACCTACTTTGGTTATCGCTCACGGTTATCGCTGACACGTCTCCAGTTACGTCTATGCTGACGAAGCTCAGTCTGCACCCAACGTGGACATCTGTTACATGGTCGATAGATTTATATACTGGCACACAACCGCCTCAACGTATAGTTTCTGTTGCTGAATAACCTAAAGGTGTTAATGCAGATGACGCCATCGTCGGAAACCGGAATGGAGTAGTACATTTCGTTGCCTGTGTTTGCCGACAAAGCTTAAGAGTCTTATCAAGGTCTACCTTTTACGACAAAATGTTCTCGCAATACGGTTGTTCGAAGTTCAAAGTTCAAGAAGGCTCTCCCTTGGGCTGCTGGCAGTCTCAGTGTACTGGAGTCTGAACCAAACCATCCCGGTCCACTCACGAGTTACTATCTTGACCATTGTAGAAATGTTTATTTTCACTGATTTCGTGCATCGTGTATGTGTGGTGTCTGGTCTCGCCTCGGTCGTATAACTTTCAAAATATCTACGTATACCTTCCGGAAATAAGTGTGCACCTTTATTAGTACATATGTAGTGAAGCCGTATCGGTTGAGTCAAATCATTTACATGGGTCTAAAGTAAGGAAACACACTTTAAGCAAAGTATGCTGTTCTATTTATCAATGTGCTTCACTGAATACATGACAGACAATGTGCTTCACTGAAGGTGAGGTGAGTCGAGGTGAAATTGGGTTTAACGTCGCGCTGGAGAATATTTCGCTCATATGACGACGTGCATGCGTGTGTATGTGTAGGTGCGGCTGCTTGCACTAGCCCAGACTGAAGCTGGTTTTATAGTGCTAACCCACTGAGATACCATGCCGCAGTGAAGCATGAATACCCCACTCAGACACATTATACTGACTCCGAGGTCGACCAGTCCTTGTTGTACCCACTAATGCCGAGCTCCAGGCAGGCACCAACAAGTACCATATTTTAACGTCTTTTGGTATGACGCGGTCGGGGATCGAACCCGCGACCTTCCGCTCTCCGGGCGGACGCTCTAACCACTACACCACGGAGGCGGTCTGCTTCACTGAATACATGACAGACACCTAAAACCTGTTACAGAGCTTCTCTCAAGGCAAGCATGAAGTAACCAATACAAAAGGAAATCTGGCAATCCTTGGAAGCTTCACTGTCAAAATGTCATGCTTTCTCTTATCCCAGAAACTTGACACACCAATCCATGTGAATCACTTTTCGTGTCAAGAAACTAAGGTCAGCATACTTTGAATACTGGAACTGCATTGTGTAACCTTTATTTACACGTAAATCATTATGTCAGTATTATTAGACATTGTTGCCTAATTACAATGATCGAAAAGGAATTACATTTTATAAATATGAGCCTCCACGCTGATGCAATCGTCAAGTCAGCTGTTTCAATCTACGTTTGGTTCTGTGTTTTGAAACCTCTGATTGACCGATTAGAAAAGGATATTTACCACATTCATGGAAGACTACGTAGAACATTATGTTAGGAAACTCTTTGGACAAAATGCTGAACTCCAGTGGGAAATATTAACAAACGGTACATATTTCTCGGGAATATTTACATGTATGTTTTCAGAAATCTGTTTTTGCTTAGGTCTTAAGTCTTGTTGAACGGTAGGAAATACAGCTGCTTTGTAGTTGATACGTAAATCTTACTTTTATAACATACCATTAGGTGCTAAAAGCAGTTATTTTAGATAAAAACTGTAGTGGTTTAATGTCCATACACTCATCATGTACGTAATTTTGTGAAACATACTGAAGTTGTCTCGGTTAGTTCAGACGAATATATTGTTGATATCTGAAAGTTTGCTTGCCCGTTGTAAATCATGAATGATTTTCTGTTACTATCTTAATAGTTTTGTGACAATTCAGTGTATCAAAATTTACCATTGGCGTTCATTAAGAACAAGAGAATGACGTCACAAATATAACTTCACGCAATCATCGCATGAAGCATGATCACCAGCATCTCACGTGTTTGAAGCACCAGGATGGGGAACACCAATCAGAAACATGTGTCAGGTCACGTGATCACGATGGTTATTGCTACAATAGTGGACGGTGTATGGGAAACCTGGGCTGCTTGGTCGGAGTGTTCCACGTCGTGTGGTAAGGGGTCGCAGTGGAGGGAGAGGACGTGTGATGGGCCATTCTATGATGGGAAGGAGTGCCAGGGAGAGAGGAGACAAACTCAGGAGTGCCAGATCAGGGAGTGCCCAGGTAGGCTTCAACATTGGTAGATGAGTCTTGGAGTGGCAGTTCAACGTCTTTATCATGTCATGTTGTCATGGACGGTCAACAGATCAGTGACTCGACGAACTCTTATTATTCGGAGATGCTACGGTCTCGAAGCACTTGGGTTGTTGTTGTTTTTTTCATATTTTTCATTTGACCCATTGTGGATGTATCCTCAAGTCACAGCACTTGGGGTGATTCATCACCTGAAATGACTCTGATAAAGATGTTGAACTATATAGTTTGAATGGTGTATTACAATTAGTTACAAGAGTTCTGTTCCACATGCGGATCAGGCGTGATGACTGTCATAGGACTATAGGAGTTCCGACAGCCATAACGCCAAAACTGCTTTCTGGAATAGAGCCCTGAACAATAAGGTCCTAGATTTATACTGTAACGGAAGAAAGGTACAACAAGGTGTAGTGGTCTCAGTAGAATAGTGGCAGTATTTGGTTGCTGTCATCGATATTGTAACCGGCCCGTGTCCGTGACGTGGCCAACGATGTTGCTTTCAGTGGACGGCGTGTGGAATGGCTGGGAGACATGGGGTGACTGCTCCAACATCTGTGGGGGCGGGATGCGATCTCGGACACGCACCTGTCAAGGCCCCTTCTTTCAGGGGGCTCCTTGCCCTGGGGAAGTGAGTCACACAGAGGAATGCAACACATTTGAGTGCCCAGGTATGTCCCCTGGAGTTGCTTCCTGACCCAGGCTTTCAATAGGACGTGCCGGAAGTATGGTACTGAATCATATGGCAACCATATATTAATGCTGTGCTAATTACGTAGTCATTATACAAATAGGGAGAGTTAAAAGCATAAATACATCTGTAAATTTCAATGATGTATCCTGTGAATATAACTGTAAATATATATCTTTTTTAAGTAATCGAAAGTATAAGATATAATTCAGATCTTTATTATTATCACATGTATGAACATATTCTGTAATCTACCTGGAATTGTTATGTCTAATATCTATGCTATTTACTGACTTGTTACTAACCTGTGTTTAGATAAAGTAGATATGCATGTCAGAACAGTTTAGCATAGCCATGTGCCATGTTTGAAGCAAGCCTCGGGTAGACTAGCGCACTCTGTAGTTGCTGGTAGTTCTAGTATACTACTATACTAACGCGCCTCCATGCCTTTAGCAAAGCTGCTTTTCCGTCTCCTAGGACAGTGTTTCCGCTTACACATAGTTCTGAGATAACACGCTTGCAACATAGTGTTGTCTACTAACGCTGCTGCGCGTGCAGGAGGTCTTGATTTTGCAAGATTCCAAACCTGCTTCGTGCTGCCGCGGACTTATATTACCAGGCTGTAATATAAGTCCGTGATTCTGCCTGACTAACATCTGCCTTAGCTCTAACTAGGAGATACGACATTGCTCTTGTCGGTGATGATCTAGCTGTAGCGGCATTGTTGCCTAATTCCACCTACCATAGAATAGTTTCATCAGTCACAGCAGCGCTAGTGAAACTAGTGGCTGTTCTATAATCTCCGCGTCCCCCTCATACAGTGGATGGTTCTTGGCTGCCGTGGCATGATTGGCGGGATTGCAGTGTCACGTGTGGTGGAGGTCAACAGATCAGAAAACGGGACTGTCTCAAACCTAAATTTGGCGGCAGTAACTGTGAAGGAGAGAGTCAGCAGACAAGACAATGTAGTACACAGGAATGCCCAGGTGAGATACCGCCATTGATCACGTGGCCACGTCACGTGACATTCAGGGGAAGACAACTGTTTATATACTTGCCTTGAACATGTCAACTATGAGCAGTTGGGCAGGCAGGTGTGTTTTTACAAGAGAGATGTTGGGTAACCCGCACGGTCACATTCCCCAGCTTCAATGCAATGCTATTGTCAAGCATGTTTAATGTGTTCTCATGTAAATGCACATATGTTGCAGTACAGAATATGATGTATTATCTTGTGCATATTTCAGAATGAATGTTGGATTTCGAAATTATCAACTATCTTGTAATGCTTTTCCGTAACTGATCTATCGGCGGCATGTTCAAAGTAAGAAATATACTTTCATTAAAGTTAGTTTATATATGCCCGTCACGGGTTGTCATGTTGTAAATTTACGTTCCAGTTTTCATGAACTTGCCGTTATAGAACATCCAAAGCAACCAACTAACTCATCTTGGAACGGAAGATACGGTTTCAACACGGTATGCAGTGGTGATTTATTAAATGGAATTATTGCCTTGCAGTTGACTCTTACTGGTTGCCATGGGAACAATGGGGAGAATGCAATACGACCTGTGGTGGTGGTAATCAGCGGCGCTTGCGCACTTGTCAAGAAGGTTTGAATGGCGGTCGCAACTGTAATGGCCCAGCGGAAGACTTTCAGACTTGCAACACGCATGCGTGCCCAGGTATAGCTTCTGCTTTAATTTACTGTCTTCCTACTGGAGGACAGATGGTTTCCTTCTCTCAATTTGTGTCGCTGCTGTAGAACGCGCAAAGCAATCTCTCGCGTGTGCAGTGTTATTCTTTTCCACAGCGAACAGAACGGAAAACAAGCCATCAATTTCTCATACACAGGATTCATTGCTTCCTACCATTTGTTTTTATTTTGTTTTGAAGAAACATTTTTCAGAAACATCTTCCCGAAGTTGTTGTAAATGTTTCGCATTTTGTTTAATATATGGATTTGTTTATTATTTCAGGAAACAATACGAAGCTTGTTCTTGGTGAGTGCTCTACTCCAGCGCGTGTAAAAATCAAAGGATGTTACTGGGCAATCAGTGATGTGTTTCATAAACCAATCTCCGTTCGCGAAGGCAAAAATGCTCAGTGCGCATTACTGCTGTAATGATGCTTCAAGTAACGTTGGTTGCAGCTTCATTTTCATCTCTGTCAAGATAATATCAGCTGTATCACCCTGTTTGTTATTACAGTTGATGGCGAAGAAATAATGATGGTGCTGGGTAGGTGGTCGCCACACAACACTGTACGCAATCCAGTCGACGAGCACCTGTTCTCAATATCAGAATCATTTTTTGCAAATATATTTGAAACTATATATTCATATAAAAGTACAAGTTTTTTGTCTAACGTTTTCTTAATTGCCATATGACATAAATGTCAGTGTGAAAGAAAAGTTGAATAAGTTCATCATGATAATATAATCCACAAAATATTCATTGTATTAGAAACTAAGCCTTCATAAACAAATGAAAGATGTAGATGTGGAAATAAGTTTCTCAAACACTTCCAAATTTTGCCATTTCAATCTCTTCGTATCAAATCTAAAATGTTTAGCCTTTGTGTTGTCTACAACATGGAAATAATTGGCTTCCTAGTGTATCAATTTCATTAAGAAACAAGATAGCTTGCCTCAACTATACAAAACCAAAATCAGCTGAAGTAGTGACCAACAAGATATTTTCTCAATAACACAGATTTGAATAGTAATCACTGAACCATCTTAGGATTCCCCAAACGACATGGGATTTTTTTCCTCTGGTTACACGTGCATTTTATACACCAGCATTGGTTGTTGAAACCGTGTCACTTTACATAATGTTTCCTGGAATTTGTAAATCGGAAGCCTTTTATTACCATGTCCGAATCCATCCCACGCTGAAGAATATAGAGGTCAATTAAAGACCAATGGTCAGTGGTCTGTGTTGCCTCTCACTATGCCCGTGAAACGTGAAGGTAAAATCTTTCTAAAGATGGCGGATATGCGCCCAGACTGAGCGAGTGTGTGGCTTAATGTCGCTATAAACATTCTTTTAGTAAAATTAGTTGAAAGTCTAGAGCTTGGATTCGAACCCAATTTCACATTATAAATGGCAACTCTATACACTGAATGACGTCAACAAATCCTGCTGGCGTAGTATTTCGTTTGTGTTTAGACAGGTTGTTAGCTGACAAAGTAGGGTCACGATGTATAGACAGACTGACCTATTTGACAGTAAGATAGATCAGTGAATTTGATGTATATACCCACTGACCTATTTGACAGAAAGATAGATTAGAAAATTGATGTATAGATCCACTGACCTATTTGACAGTAAGATAGATCAGTAAATTTGACAGGTTGTTAGCTGACAAAGCAGTATCACGATGTATAGATCCACTGACCTATTTGATAGTAAGATAGATCAGTAAATTTGACAGGTTGTTAGCTGACAAAGTAGGGTCACGATGTATAGACCCACTGACCTATTTGACAGTAAGATAGATCAGTAATTTTGACAGGTTGTTAGCTGACAAAGCAGGGTCACGATGTATAGACCCACTGACCTATTTGACAGTAAGATAGATCAGTAATTTGACAGGTTGTTAGCTGACAAAGCAGGGTTACGATGTATAGACCCACTGACCTATTTGACAGTAAGATCGATCAGTAAATTTGACAGGTTGTTAGCTGACAAAGCAGGGTCACGATGTATAGACCCACTGACCTATTTGACAGTAAGATAGATCAGTAAATTTGATGTATAGACCCACTGACCTATTTGAAAGTGAGATAGATCAGTAAATTTGATGTATAGACCCACTGACCTATTTGACAGTAAGATAGATCAGTAAATTTGATGTATAGACCCACTGACCTATTTGACAGTAAGATAGATCAGTTAATTTGATGTATAGACCCACTGACCTATTTGACAGTAAGATAGATCAGTAAATTTGATGTATAGACCAACTGACCTATTTGACAGTAAGATAGATCAGTAAATTTGATCCAATGTGAGTTGCATATACGCGTGAACAATGCTTATTTCAGAGCTACTGGTATTTTACCTTCACTCTATGTCACAGGTGGCTTTGTGTATGAGCAAAGTAAACGTGTAACACCTAACCGATTCATTGAGGCTATATGACCAGATTTAATCTGAAAATAAATGATCATGTTGAAACTTTATAGTAGAAAATATAAATATCATGTACACAAGGTACATATATGTAAACATATTGTAAAGATATTGTTGTAGAGCAATGAAGATTCAAGATATGACAACTGAACGTTTGTGTTGAAATAGTTACTACTTATTAACTTTAACATAAACACTGAGCATCAAAAGACCTTGGTATGAAGTCTAGAATGCCCATTGCTGTTAAAGTAAATAATTTTTCGCAGTATTGTCTGAAGGTAAAAACTAAAATAGACAAAGTAAAAGGTATTTACAGTAGTGCATTGCGCACAAAGCGGTTCGCACTTTTGAGGTGGCTATATTTATTTCCCTTTCAGTTGATGGTGAATGGCAGGAGTTGGGTGAGTTACCTCCCCTCTCCCTGAGGGTGAAGGACCTTTTCCACTGCGTCCCACGCACTGCGCATCCTAGCAAAGTTTGTTTCAGATTTGAGGGTGTGAATTTCATACACATGCATCTAGTCAATCAGTCGCTGATCACATCAAGGTTCACTACTCAAACATCCCAACACTTTACCCGGAAGGACATTTTCATCTTATCTAATGCAAGGTACTTGTCAAGGCAAATATGTTGCCTTTTTACTTTATTTTGGGTAGTTTTATCCCACTTCGATAGTATGCTTTTGTTTTCACAAACCTCTTGTGAAAATAAACGCATAAGCAAAACAAGGTCATCTTTATGTACCATCAAGTCAGCGCCTTCGCGTAGCGATCATCATCATCGTGATGAGTCATCTGTTTTGCTTTCTTTCAGTATTCTGCATTTGTGCAGGGAGAATGCATGTATTTGAACTCTATTCCTCTTGTCGCGATGTTCTACCAAGCTTGATATGTTTTACTTTACATGCTGTGGTCAGAGGCTGATACTTCTGCAGATTCACAAGTTTTTGTTTTACAGGCAAACTAAAGACCAAGGTGCGTGGTCTGAGTTGCCGAACTCAGTGCTGTAGTTTCCCGCTCTGTGAGGTCAAGGTCACCAATGCATATATATTTGTACGTGTTTATTACGTTTACCTTGGAACAGTGACAGCGGAGTTCATGGTTTGTCCAAGGTACACGCTAATTAACAAGCCTAATTCCGGACAGTGTGAAAACACAAAAACAGTACATTTAAAGGTTTAATAAAACTTATAGAATGTTTTCGGAGCATACATGTAATGTGAAAACAAATGACAAAACATCTAAAACAATATGCATAATGTACATGAATCCATTATTCTGGTATGAGCTTCCTAAATCGCCTGTGTGCATGGTGACCTGACCTCTGTGTCCCTCACTCAGAACCTCTTGCTCACCTCTCCAGTGTCTTTTTCCCCACAGTGGATGGCGTGTGGCGAGAATGGAACGAGTGGTCCGCATGTTCACGCAGGTGTGATACAGGCACGCAGACACGCAATCGCACGTGTGACGGGCCGTATTTCGGCGGAAGCGACTGTGTGGGGCCGACATCGGACTTGCGTAACTGTAACACCCATACCTGTGCAGGTCAGTGTTCAACATCCACTCCCTCTGTCGGTCTCCAACTTCTTCCTCCTCCTCATCCTTCCTCATGCTTCATTCGTAGATGCTTACTGTCACCCGTGTTTGTAGTGTTTGCATAGTCGTTTCCTTCATGTGCACATCTCACTGGCAGGGCAAGGATTTCTTCTGACTGCCATACATTTCAACCTTTATATGTTCCTGTATACCGTGCTAGTCTCCGTCCCTCCTCTTGTCCGTGGCAATCTCTGACTTGATGGCGCATCGTATCATTGAGTTACTCTCATGTGCTTTCTCGACAAGCTTGGTGAGGGTGCGTAATTATATTGGATTTCAAGGACGATGTAACAGCGTGGGCATACTATCAAGGTAAGCATTATTCTTTTCTGTCTCTCATATTCTTGCGCAATAACTTGCTTTCGCCCTATCAATCTCTCTGAAAGAATATCTCTGATCTTCAAACCTTCTTACTTCCTATTCATTGATCTGCCTCTAACTCTGTGATCTCTGATAACACCTATTTGCAAACAAATGTATGTGGTGCATTAATCGAAACTATTTTGAGGGAGAACATATTCAAACTGTGTTAGGACAGTAATAACCGAAATCGGCCTATACATATGAGAAATAGCTAGTAAGTAACCTTAATAAAAGCTTCACCAAACTAATGGTTTTTGTGCTTTCAGTTGATGGAGTGTGGAAACACTGGTCAGACTGGTCAATTTGCCCAGTTACGTGCGGTGGTGGTACTTCTCGAAGATCAAGGTCATGCGATGGCCCTTATTTTGGTGGTATAAACTGCAGCGGACTTTGGAGTGAAGGGCAACCGTGTGGAACAGAACCTTGCCCTAGTATGTGCACTCGTCTCACTCTTAAGTTGTATCATTCAGCGATATTGCATGTCTTGTCTGTTCAGGGGAGGTTCGTTCGTACCTTACATACCAGGAACTATTTTCATACTTGGTTTTACATTTCTTTTCTCCACTTTTCTTGGGGTTGCTAACAAAACTTGCCTTTGTGGGAATGGCTGTCAATCATGGACTGTGCATGCCTCTTTTCCTTTATTTGTAATGGGAATAGAAGGATTCAGAACATGCTGACGGAAAGCTGCAATTTTCATAACTCATCTTTCAGTTGATGGGGTTTGGGAAACCTGGTCTAAATGGTCATCTTGCCCAGTCACATGTGGCGGAAGTATGTCACGGAGATCAAGGTCATGTGATGGTCCTCGGTTTGGCGGGAAAAACTGCAGTGCTCCCTGGCTTGAAGAAAAAACATGTGGAACTGTTCCATGCCCGAGTATGTCTCATCATAGTTCTTCTTTGAAAGCAATTCCATGTTCATCTTTTGTCTTAATAGATCAGGATGTGCAGTGGTTTCTAGATTTAATTAGATGTGTCAGTATGGTCAGCTTTGCAACTCGTTTTATTGCTTAGTTGTCCTAGTCCAGTTTGTCCTGTGACTTGTGGATGAGTCACTTCTGAAAGAGCTAGAACATGTGAGATGCCGTGTTTTAAGGGCACAAACTGCACGTTTCCCAGGAGTGAAGAGTAACCATACGGACGTTGACCCTAGTCCCGTTATGTTGACTGCTCATCTAGTGTGTAGCAATACCAATGCTGCATGCAAGTGTTAAAAATGCGTGCCGTCACACGTGGGGGATTTTCTAAAAATAAATTCGATTCTTGCCACCTTGATGTTTTTCAGTTTATGTATAATTGGAGCTGTTATTTTATGGCCTCTTTGTGCAGTTTGCTATAGTTGAGGCCAACCTCTAGGCCATGAGATTGAACCTATTTGGGAAATACATCATGCTGTGACAACTTCAGTGAAAGCAGTGAACTACAGTTGCCTTTGTAAGGGCTGCACTTTCGATAAATAGCATGGTCTCACCAAGATACTCGTAACTGCAAGATTGCTCATCATTTATGTCATGTCTAGGAGAATGCAACAATAGTAAATTGTTAATGGATAATTGGAAAATGGCAGCCATAATTTCCCTGCTGCGTTCTGTATTTGTTGCAAAGATTCTATGTATTTCAGTTGATGGGGTTTGGGAACCCTGGTCAGAATGGTCAGTTTGTCCCGTCAGTTGTGGTGGAAGTACATCACAAAGGTCAAGGTCTTGTTTGGGTCCACACTTCGGTGGTAAAAACTGCAGTGCTCCCTGGACAGAGGCTAAGCCATGTGGGACAGACCATTGCCCTAGTATGTTTGCACCTAAAAGCCTGTCTTGTTTTCCTCATCCTTTGCATGAATTCTTCCATTTGTATTTCCTCTGACTTTGCCATCTACCCTGTGTGGTGGCCGTGTGAGCATGTGCATATTTCGTGTTACTGATGCATGTCATCAGCCAGGTTGTTTACCATGAATACCTCTGTCATACATATGACATCCCATTCTTAGCCTACCCGTGCATCTATATTACCCGTGCATCTATATTACCCGTGCATCTGTCTTACCCGTGCATCTATATCTTAAGACTTTGTAATCCTCTGCTTCTACCTTGTATAATTTGAATACAGTTACACCTTTGTCCATAACTTCTTTGCTCACTGGAACTGTCAGGAAACATGTACTCTGGTGAGCTGATGTCAGTACGTCTTGTCTGCTGCTAATGCAACTGAGTGTGTCCAATCAATAGGCTATAGTTGATAAATAATTTCCCAATAGAAAGATATTTCAGGGCATCGATGTAAATTTAATCCTTATCTTCACAAATACTCCTTGGAAAGGACTTGGAAAGTAAAGTAACTGAAACTAACATCATATAACTTTAAAGAATAAGAAGAGGGAAGTTCCTCTTCTGCGTATATTAATATGATAGCTAATTGTTTTTGTTTTCATACTTTGACCCTTCTATACAGAAAGCCAAATAGCCATACGAAGGATGCCTGTAAATGGTTGCAATCCTCTCAGAACTATGTAAATTGCTGAAATAATCAGATTAATTAATTTAGAATGGTCAGTTTGTCACAAACCCCACCTCAACATATTTACAACCGGAAGACAAAATAAATCATTGGTAGACATCGTACATACCCAACATGAAGTGAGCCACAGATCTTTGAGTATCTATTCCTTGTATTTTCTAGCATGCCTTTGAATGTCACTTGCCTTTTCAATTCTGGAAACGACTATATCGAAACGTTTAATAATGATTGTTAAAGTCCAGAAGGAATTTCCGAAGTCACGCATAGATATCGGATGGTAACATGCAAACTGGTGGTTACAATGTGTGCCATAGACTCCCTGTTGGGATGAAACGATGATAATGCCTGACTAGTTTGTCTGGCTCAATCTCAATTTACAAAACTGTGAACAAAACAGACTACTATTGACTGACTACAGTATAAACCTACACAAATGAATCATTATTTGTTGGTAAGACGTTGAACCGAATCGTGACAAAATATACTATTCACACTTTGCTAAGGATCAAATCATGGATTCAACAGAAAACTATTATGTGGGGGCCAAATTTGGTTTAAATACCTAAGTTTATTGTAAGCATGGATCCTAGGTTTCAGTATGTCATTGCATCTTGTAGATCCCATACCTGTTATTGACATGTGTTGTTTATTTGTCAATGACTCGTTCCATGATTTGCAAAATAGTTGATTGGTGCCATGAAAACCATTTTTATGGTTACTGGTGTATCAAGTGTATAAGGTTAGCTTAAAGTGACTATTTGCGTAATGAGGGGTTACCATATTATTATTTATCCAGTTTTAAATGGATACAATTTCAAATTATAAATCTACGTTTAAGTAAAGTTGTGATTTTTTTTGTCCTTAGCAAAGTGTGAGTAGTATAATTCAATCGTCATACAGAAAATGTATTTTCCCTTTCTAATATAATATTACATTATCAATCTAAGGTTCTGATATGAAATACTTCCAGTTGATGGCGAATGGACCACGTGGTCAACCTGGGGCTTATGCAACGTCACTTGTGGAGGTGGAAGCCAGTCTCGCTCTCGAACTTGCATTGAACCAAAGTTCGGTGGTAAAGTCTGTGAAGGGGATGGAGTTCAGCTGAAGGGTTGTAATGACATCCAGTGTCCAAGTAAGTCTTCACAACACAAACTGTATTTGTTTATTGGATCACTTCATGTGAAGTTGGTTTGACCTGGCAAACGTTTCATATACTCTACTTTAATGTACTCTGCTGAAAGGTGATTAAGATGTAATACTCACGCATTATATAAATACAGCGGCGGCTCGCTGAATACGTCAGATGATTGAAAAGAAGCCAAGGAGTATCTGTTAACTAGCCTTGCATGGATGGATCTTGTCCTACCGCAGGTGTCGATCCATTTCATCAAAGATATTTTCTAAACGGTAGAGGAACTTAGAAAAAAGCAGGACATGGCAATACAGAAATGTTAAGCTTCCTCTAAAAGTCTGTTACAAGACGCTCACCATGTTGTCAGGCCATTCGGGCTTGTCTTCTACCATTTGTTGTGGTGCCATGATCAGTGTGCTCTCTCGAACGCACGACGATGAGTAACGCATGCGTCGCTGAAACGTCCTCCTGAACGCCTGTAGACCATTGCAAGACTTTCAGGGCTGTCTAGAACAAACCTTGACTCAATTTGGAACAGTGTACAATATCAATTCAGTAGTGTCCCAGGCGATTATGGTTGCATCGTTGGACTGTAGATAACGTCTCCGAGGAGACGACATTGTATTTCGACGGAACCCAATGGAACGTGATTTTCAGTGTTTGTGTTTATATGTGTGTGTGTGTGTGTGTGTGTGTGTGTGTCTTCGTCACCAACTAACACACATTCAATAATGTGTAAAAAGTCACAACATTGGTGAGAATTATATGAATGGAGTTATATTGTATTGAAAATCAGTGATGACACCAGATGTTATCGTGCTAGACTCTGACACTAAACATGATTAGAATTACGAACATTTGAAGTTTCGTAATTATTACATTTACTGAATTTAAGATAACACAAAGACAGACAAACACGCAAATAGATAGATCAGGAATGGTTCACTGAAATAGTATTTTGTTCCTGGCAATTAGTTGATGGAGTGTTCCAAACATGGGAAGAGTGGGGAGCTTGCAGTGTCACTTGCGGTGGAGGAGAAAAAATACGAAGCCGGAAGTGTACAGGTCCATTTCATGGAGGCAGGAACTGTACTGGACCATGGGAGGACAAAGCCACGTGCGGCACTGCGTCATGCCCGGGTATCAGCAAATAATAACTAATATACTTTTCCCCTTCAATACCTCTGTAACACGCCCCCTTTAAATCTTCACATCCCCCTTCTCATATCAGCCATCATGTCACTTTCATTACTCCAGAAATCATATCTCTACATAACTTTTTGAGCTTTTTCAACATAAGATGTAAGTATAATTTTACTTTCTACAATTTATGAACTTTTTTGCATGCAAAGTTAACCACATTTCGTGTGATCCCTGTCACTAGATGTTGTGCTAACTGTTTTTCTCCTACTAACCTTGCAGTGCTTTGGTGGTTTGCTTTGTTTTCATCCTTGCCCTGTCGAGCCAAGACTTTTGAGGCACAGCTTGATCCGCCCCTTACACAGGTGGGGTTACAGCACATTCTTCCTCACAATCAGTTTTCTATGTCAAGTGTGTATTTCCTCTCCAACTTCCATCAGATGAAATATTTCTACTAGCACTTGTCTATGTTCTTTTATATTTGAGTTATTGACCAACTCTTAGGATGAGGTCTCCTATCAACAAATTCGAAGCTCCGTCTAGCAATTACTAGAAACGAATTAAGGAGTAGTTCCTTTCGGGGCATTGTAAAAGTGAACGAGATCAGCTCTGCTGTAAGAAGTTCAATAATAGGAGGGAGTGTCAAGGTAATGTAGGAAGACAATCAGGCTGAGATCATAGATGATGACTACTCTAGTACCGAAAATAAGCTTTGAACAATGATCACTAGATCCTGGCTCGTCTGAGTGTCCAACTCTGCAGAACCAAGTGATGAGCCTCATAGCGATGTTTAACAGTTTGTCCATTATCCAGGACAGGTAAAATATTTTATAGGTGTGGCGACAACAGGTGTGCGACATATTTCAAATGTGTAGCTTCGTAGTTGCAATACCAAACAGAGTGTTTGGATGCTGAATACGAGAAGTCGTTGCTTTGTGCTTAGAACATTCTTGATGAAGACCAAGGGTTGATTCCGCATGTGTAACGTTTAAACAATTTGAAACCATTCTTGTTTTGTCCTGTCGTGATATGGCTGGGATAATATAAACGTTCCTTAAACCTAATCACAGGTGTCAGAAATATTTACAAGAACGGTATTGCTGAGTCCCTCATTTCCAAATTCATGGATAAGAAAAGATAACAAGAACTTGCTGCGATTTTTATATTCCAAAGGTGATGTTGTTCTTTCATCACTATCATCACCATTTCCATACTATTGACAGTTGATGGTACTTGGTTGTCCTGGGGCGCGTTCTCAGAATGTGACCTTACGTGCGGAGGTGGTCTACGAAGCCGTAAACGCGACTGTGACGGACCATTCTTTGGTGGGACAGACTGCACTGGCAACGACGAGGAACAAGAACTATGCAACGAACAAAACTGCCCAGGTTAGAATCTTGCTCAGCTCATTCCTAAGATCAGATTGTTTATGGCAGGAGGGAGAGTTTAACCAGATTAACCTTCTAATCTGTGTTTGTGTTGTTGTTTGTCTGTCATATAACGCCAGTTGTCAACATATTGTTAAGTTATTGAAACAATAGGGTAACCCGAAATCTGCACAGAGAAGAATGATGTGTGGCAGCGACGTAAAGAACAAAGAAATGTGATACTAGATCTTTCTAGACCAGTCTCTTACTCTCAGTGTAAATATAGTCACTAGCACACCACTGTCCTCTACTGAACCGGAAATGAAACAATGTAACTCAGTTACAACACTGCACTTTTCCACAAGGAATGACACTGCCACCTAACAATATCCGCACTATCCCATGTGTTCCAGTCGATGGCGAATGGCAGAACTGGGAGATTTGGGGAACCTGCAGCACTACATGTGGCGGAGGAATACAGTGGCGTGACCGGGGATGTGTTGGGCCATTTTGGGGTGGTCAGGACTGTTTGGGAGACTCTAAAGAGTCCCGTGACTGCAACACACAAAGCTGTCCGGGTCAGTTGCAGTTCTCTCCCCACTTTCGGACCGTGTACACTGCATGCTGATCATTACCTAAACCTCCATTGTTTGCATGTTAATGAATGACCGATCATATGAGCAGGATGCATGACATGGGAGATAACTGTGTAGAGCAGCTAGCTGTTATGGCAGCCTGCAGGTAAGAAAATAGTCTCAATGTTTATCCCTGTCGCGGCTTCCCGCTTCAACCCTGCGTATGTGTCATGACTCCGCTCTGACTCTTTTTCTTCTTCTTTCTCAAGCAAAGCAATGGCCTAGCAGGACAGCTCCCAAGAATTAATTTATTTGATTGATATGTGTCCCCATTGAAATAATCATATAAAGGGCTTTGCTTGAGAAAGGCTGACTTCCTGTTATTAGCATTCCTCTAGTATCCTTGCCCTGACCTCCTTCCTCGCAACTGCATCACCGCTTGTTTACGTCTAGGCTCACGAAATAGTCCCAGTGATTGCCTGATATACAAGAACCCTCCACAATAACTTAATGTCACAGTTTCACTTCAGTCCAGCAGACACGTAGCGTGATGAGCAATGTCGTATCTCATTTCTGCTTCACTAGAGGATGGGTACTTCAACGATTGGGCTCAATGGAGTCTCTGTGACGTCACATGCGGCGGAGGGATACGCTGGAGAAATAGAACGTGTAATGGTCCGTTCTATGGCGGTGCCGACTGTGATGGTGCGCGGAACGAAAGCGAGGCTTGTAACGATCACTACTGCCCAGGTACCAGTTGGCCATGTGACAGCACATGACGATGGTTTTCTGCGCCGAGCGGTCGTTAGATCAGGTCACGTGACTCCTGATACTAGCGATCTACGCCGAAGCGTAGTAATATTTGTTGAATGCAAATGTTCTTGTTTGTTGGTGATGTCCTCTAGTAGAGATGTGACGTCTTGTAAATACAGAATAGATTTCACGATATGAAGTAGTAATTAAAATTCACAGTTCACAGAGTGAAATGGTAAAATACACTCTGAAACGTTAGTCCATTCTTAAGTTTACGCATTTTGAGAAAATATAATTACATAAAACAACGTACCTAGTTTGAGATTCTGATTCTGACTGACGATAAATCACGATTGTCAATATTTACTTTACATACTTCTATTTCTTCTCGTTACCTGAGATTCAGGTCCGAAGCTGCTTCTTTTTTTTCTTCAGTTGATGGCGTCTTCAACAATTGGTCAGACTGGGGTACTTGCAGTGCCACATGCGGAGGTGGTAATAAACTGCGTCAGCGCACCTGCCATGGTCCATTCTTCGGCGGTAAAGATTGCGTTGGTCCACGTGAAGACACAGCGTCGTGCAACCAACATAACTGCCCTGGTACGTGTTTCATTCTGTCGTCATAAAGTCCGAAGACAGAACTTAACATCAAAATATTATTTGCATTGTTTGATGCGACCCTTGCAAAGATCATGTTAATGAGAATAATTAATTTATTTACATAATTAGCTACCATACTTTAAGGAATATTATATTAAGACTGAACATGATTTAGTTTGATATAAAATATTACTGATGATATTACTCTGATTGGTGTTTTGTACTAACGCTTTTTTATTCCTCTTACATGTGTGTAACTGTGGTAGATAGTTTGTAGTTTATACCATAATACTTGTGTGTGCTGTTGATATTGTATTCCGATAACGACATAGCTCTGTCTGTCACGCGTGTCTAACAGTGTGTGCCTTTGTTTAGCTGAGCTCCAGCGACTAACATGTGCATTATCACATACCATTCCAAACATTTAGCCGTCACATCATTTGCTGCACCTGCAAAATGATATTTTAATTAAAATTATTCATGAAACCAGTCACCTTTTGACCTTTCATTCCTCAAGGTGCTAAGCTTTAAGTAAATTAATTTCTTCCACGCAAGTTGATGGCATGTGGGAATCATGGCTCCCATGGGGCGCATGCTCAGAGAGCTGTGGCGGAGGCATACAAGAGAGGGAAAGGGAGTGCCAAGGTCCGTTTCACACCGGACAAGAGTGTGAAGGAGCGCAGATTGAGTCACGGGACTGTAACAATGATACCTGTCCGGGTCAGTCACCCGTGGCCAGCGGAAGAACGACATCAATCATATTATTCCTGTCCATCCGTTTTATCCGAAGTCAATCTTCATCAATATCACATTATATTGTTTGAAGTTCAATACTTAGTCGCATTATAGCTTCTGGGACACGCCTATTTGCACGTGTTGACTAATATAACTGCCTATCACGTGTGTTGTAAATGAGGACTTGGCGGAAACCTTGCCACGCCAATCACGTGATCAATCTATTTGTCACTTTTTCATATTTGAATCACGTGCTACCAATCACAACGATGCATCGAGCACCACCACATCATCTTTAACCACGATTTTCATAAATAACATTTTTTATTTATTATTAATGCTTTCAGCGAGTTTGAATATTTTTCTGGTGTTTAATATGGTTTTTAAGTTTATTTAACAGACAAATGTATATAGACAATCTAACCTCGTTTCTCTTAAGCACTGCGATGAAGCCATACATTTCTATTTCGCTTCGTAGTAATTTAAACTAATATTCTCTTCTGTAATGATGATTGCTTATACAATTAGCCCTTTGTTAATATAATCTGAAGTAGAGACAATTTTGTTGCTACTGATTCTTGAAGCATGTTAAATTCTTCTAAGCTACTAACCAATAATTCCTTGAAAACACCTTGATGCCAGCCGATGTCAAGGAAGTGGTCCAACTGAAGGGTGTGTCTGTGTGTGATGTTATATAAAGCTGAAGATGGTGGTTTCAGTGGACGGGATATGGGCGGAGTGGGCAAAGTGGAGCACGTGCACGCTCACGTGCGGAGGGGGGCAGCAATGGAGGACAAGGAACTGTATCGGACCGTTTGATGGTGGTAAAGAATGTCCAGGCCCTCGCAACGTCACTCAAGCCTGCAACACAGATAACTGCCCCAGTAAGTAACTCTTTGCTTTCGTCTTTGAATCTGATAAGTGTTATGAATACGAATCTAATTCTGCTTGTCATGCTAGGTTGAATACTGCATACAAAAATATTTCCGGTCAAACCTGTGTTCATATGTGCGTATGTACGTGTATGTCTTAGTGTGCACGTGCGTGGTTGTTAGATCTGCAACCGCGTGCGTGCGTGCGTGTGTGTCCGTTTAGACCTGCTATGATGTATGGAAGAACAGCCAGGGTTGGCATATTAGGTTCTGAAATACTTCAGCTTTACAGTTAAAAGTTAGCACCGTGTTTGTGATCATGAATTCCAGTGAAATAACATGAAGAAACACGTTGATCAAAACACGTTTTGCGTGAATAGTGCCTTACAGTGACTTTAAATATGTCTTTAATGTTGGTCAAAATACCGGGTAAAGTATTAAAGACCATACTAGTCTGTACCTCCAACAGCCAATAGGTAGCCATGCCCACAGTTATATCTATCTACATGGAACACTCATGTGCAGCAGCCGCATTCCGAACTATTTTCAGTTGACGGCGTCTACGGTGAATGGTCCTCATGGGGAGCATGCAGTGACACGTGTGGCGGAGGCACACAAGATAGGACTAGGTCGTGCACCGCCCCTAAATATGGTGGTGTCGACTGCTTAGGCCCAGCAGTTGACACCATGGCCTGCAACACCAATCACTGCCCTGGTCAGTCCCCTCACTGCATGACGTCATCAATAGCCTTTAACCCTTTCCCATTTAACCCATCACCGCATTGCATGTCACTCAGTTAATCAACAGCCGAATTTCTATTTAACCCTTCACAATACAGCTTTGCCAACACAGTTGTATATAGGACATTGGGTTCAAGTTTTCCCATCCTTTCTAAAGGGATAATTGCAAGTCTTAGACAATGAGGTTAGAAGATATTCCTCCCTATCCCTAGAGTGCATGCATAAATATCCTTGGACGCATGACTGTATAGGTCTTGGATGTAGTGACTATACTTTGTAAATATCGAATGCCTCCTCCGACTTCCCTTCATGATTCTTTCATCTCTCTAAACTGACGAAAGAAATCACCCAGAGCACTACTTTGCCACTCCCTTTCCTATGACCTGAGCCATGACCACGAGAGGCTTCCGAATCCACTCTTCCTGAAAACATTATCTTTTCACCGTCTACGGTACTGTTCCAGTGTCTGCTACGTCTTTCATTTGTCTGTGTATCATAACTATTGCAGCGCGAGGGATGTGAATACTGAGAACGTATTAAAGGAGCAATGGTGTGAACAAATTGGATGTGGACCAATAAACTCACAACGCATCCTTTGGGCATGCTTGAGCTCTTCTGCTTCAAGGGTTTTAGTCTTAGCAACTAATCTTACTACATGTATTTCACTTTCTAATCGGAGAAAATCAGTATGTGATGTTTTCCTTGACAAAATGCTTAAAAGGTACCCTACTATAGGATGTACACGGGTAAAATACGATGTAAAACAATAGCGTGTACTGCATACATTACCAATCGAGACAGAGTTACCTGAACAGGGGCAGAGGGCAAGCCTATATCAGGGAAACTCGTCGAAGATGACGTGGTGTGATTCCCACAAACACAGGTTTCATATGTGATGTCATGTAACTGGCCATGATAATGCTGTAAACCTTTCTCATATATAGTTCAAGCAACAATATATTCCCTCATATTGCATTCATTGTTATATGGAGAAGAATTTACACGACGTCTATAGGAACTACTTGACAATTCGTCTGGGCATTGTAATGATGTACTTACTGGACTACACTTGTATAATATATCTGGCCCGATAGTAACCTTTTCAGGTTTACTTTTGGTCTAGGATAATTGCAATACCTAGACTTCATTGTCGGGGAATTAGCTTGGGAACGCAACACATTCAAATAACCAACAAAAGCATCTATTAGTGGCCAGTCTATATTCGGTGCATTTCATGAGTGCTTTTACATTTTACGATAAAGCATCTGCAAAATTACAACCTTAGAAATAAATATATTCTGACAATCGTGAATTAAGAATGACATAATCTATCATCAGTGAAATACTCCGAATAAAAGCCGTTATTTATACCACCGATGCTCTCCTAGTTCGTGGTTCCACGTTGAATTGTCGCTTCTTTAAACAATACTTATAATGCTGCTAATCTACACTGCTGAGGATCTCGCAGCTTTGCAAGACTTGAGAATGCAAAAATGACTAAAATTATCTAACAGTTTTCACGGAGAGCGTGTTATCATCGAGTAAGGTACATAAACTTATCAAGTAAACTTGGCAATCAAGACGATCGTATGTCGCAACTGACGGATTATAGACTTGGGACGGAACATGTATGTTGACTTAAAGCTTAACACAAAATATGAATTATGGTCGCGGTGGATGAGCAGGCTAGGCGGCTGACTTTGTGTACTGGCGATTAGGTGCCTGACTCTGAGGGTGTGGGTTCAAATACTGGATGGGACTCAACCCAACAAATCGTTACTAAGAAAGTGTAATCTCAAATATAACAATGCTAATTAGCTTACAACATGGAAAGATCAATGTGTATCAACACTAAGTCAGACTTTTAGTATTCTCGGTATGGAGTAAAATCCACAAAATGTGTTGTTTCGTCCTATTTGATAAAGTCACAATTATGTAGTATTGAGGGAATATGAGAACTATGTTACTTGAATAGAAGATTTTTTGAGTCAGTCAGATGTATACACCATATTCCCAACCCGCCCTATGTCTCACACTATATCTGTTAACTTGATTCCGACGTTACTTATGGACATGAGAGTTGTGATGAAGAAAGATACATGTAAGGTTATCGGAATTACCGGAATGCACAAAGGGAAAACGGGGAGATATAATTTGAATAAATCCAGTCCGTCAAAGACAGAAATCCTCCAAATTATGGCTCCACTACATGAATAGTTAGTTGCTGCCCCCACTGACATTAGCGCGCTTAAACAAATGTACCGCCAAACCCTGTCACAAAGATTAACCATATTCCTTATACATTACAGCAAGAGCTTTCATTCACAGGAAGTATTCGAAACACGTGCCCATAACAGGTCAAACGATTTGCTTGGTCGTTTTTCAGTATCAGACAACAGCCGCTATTCTTCATAACAAACTTAAGGAAAAAGAAAAGTACTAGAATTTGTACTTTGCTAAGAAAGTGTAATCCCACACATAACATATGTTGCATTTGACCACTTTCTAAATGGCATTGTGTAATCAAAACTTAAGGAAAGACTTCATTACTTGATCGTTAGGGCTTTTGTTACAAGAAGCGACAAAACCCTTTACACATTCATCAGAGTCGATTGTGCAATTGTGACTATGTCGTGAGCAGATATTTGCTTCAGCAGCATATATAGGGTCAGAGGTTAAGAGAAGTTTGTTAGTGAAAGTGCTGAGCAACAATATTCCAAAACATGGACTTCTCATTGATAGCTTTCATGTAACGACATGTATGCTTGAAGTTGGCAACCACAGGGGCATTCACTGTGCTCCACTTATTGCTGATCCCCTTCTTGCATGTGAATAGTTACGAATCTCTGCTCGGATGCCAAAGTCAAACAAAGAAAGTTTTACGTATGCTTCAGGTATATTGACCAATGACATTGTCTTATACCGTCAGACAGCAAATTCCGTTGCAGTGACTTACCCACCTTAACAAGAAATGGGACCCGTGAGCATAGGCGGACCCAGTTGGGGATGCAGGGGTGCGCGCACACACACACACAGTGTCCCGTGTAGCTCTGGCAGTATGGGCCCGGGCGTTATCATGCTGGAAAATGTTTTTCCGGTGACGTGCGAAATGTGGTATGACCTGGGGTCTGAGAGCTTGGTCGATGTAGCGCACCGCTGCGATGCCTACTATGCCTGGACCAAGGTTCTGGAACACCACAGGACCCACTCTCTGGTTCAGGCCTATTCCACCCCATACCATGATGCTTGCACCTCCCCATGAGTCTCTTTCCATAACACATTGGTCTGAGTAACGCTGGCCACGTCGTCGCCATAGTCTTGTCCTCCATCTGCAGTTGATACGCAGTACCGACTCTCATCTGTGAACTGAACAGTTCTCCATTGCCTGTATCGCCAGTTTTGGTGTTGTTGGGCAAACTGTAGACGTTCACGCCGATGACGAGGGGTGAGGAAAGGTCCACGGTAAGGTCTACGGCAATGGAGGTTCCCGCTATTAAGACGTCGGCGTACTGTATTAGTACTGATTGGTTTTCCGTGTGTTCCACTGTCTGGCGTGATGTTTCGGATGCCTGCATGAAGGGATTCTGTACATGCTGTCGCACAACATGGCGGGTTTGTTGTCTTGTGGTCACCCTTGGTCTGGCAGTACGGGGGCGATCATTTGTGGTGTTGGTGGCCCAGAAACGTTGCTGAAGCCTGTAGATTTTCCGAACGTTGACCTGGAAGTGATTGGCAACGGCTTGTGCAGTGTGACCAGCTTCAAATCTTCCTAGCGCCTGGTTCCTCTGAGCTGTCGTGAGTCGCGGCATCCTGCTGACGTTGTAATGTGAATGTGTCCACCAGGTTTGGGGGTGCACTTTATAGGGCTGGTCCTTGTGAACAGCACGTGCAGCATGAGTTGCATGAAAAACATGGAGAACACTGTACCATCTCCGAGATCAGGTTGCGTTTTTGAGACCATTTCCTGGGTTCGGGAAGGAATGTCTTTGCTCAGGTAAAGTTGGAGATGTTGTCAAAAATATACAATCCAAACATTAGATGAGTTTACAGTTATCGGTTTCTGCGAAGGAAAAATTTGCAACTGACGTTTCATTTGCTGCTTAGTATATATTTCATAAACACATTCTCGTGATATAGTCAGGATTGTATCGGGCGATGGAGTTGCCTAATGGACTGGCAGGTTAAAACGTTCGCTCGTCAGGCTGAAGACCCGATGTCGATTTCCCACATGGGTACATTGAGTGAAACCCTTTTCTGGTGTCCCCCGCTGTCATATTGCTGGACTATTGCTAAAACGGTTCATAATTTCTGGCTGGGAGGTGGGGGTTGATTGATGATTTTAAGAGGGGTGGGGTCACCTATTTTGTTCTTGGAGCTGGAGGGGGGCAGCAATTTTGTACATAAAAATATGTTTAAACTTATGCTTGGTCATTATGGGAAGGTGGGGTCATTGATTTTGTACATAAATTTTAGGAGGGGTCACTCACATTGTACATGCTTCTCCATAAAAATCATCATCATCGGCACCGTATGAAACAGGAGTTTGTATTTTGGGGACGAGTGCGACCAAACGTACCAAAAGTCAACTTTTGTAGGGAGATTTGCGAAAATTACGAATTGTGCAATAAACGCAAAATGCACGTGCGGAAAGGGTATAAAACCACTGCATGCGACAGGTGGGCGCGTGACATTACAGAAAAACTCAAAAGAAATGCCACGTATAAGTTCAGCAGAACGAGAGAGGGCCATAGGAATGCTACAGTTTGGGGCTACAACTGGTCAGGTTGCTGCAACGTTTGGTTGCTCCGTAGTTCGGGAACCTTCGCCAACGCTTCAATCAGACTGGTCAGACATCGGACAGGCCACGAACAGACAGACCCCGGGTAACAACAGCAGCGGAGGACCGACATCTGAGAACGTTGCATTTGC